TCGCGACAAATCGTGCATTGCAAACGTTTGTTGGCAGGAGCCGGTGGTTGACGAGGAGATTTGCTTTCCTTATGCTTGTTTATTGGCGCGCAGTTCTGTTATTGTGGCAGGAACCATTCTTCGAGAAGGACAATCCGGCCCATAGTGTTGCTGCAGGGTTTCCTCACGTTGTTTATGATTTTGCTATGCGTGGCTGGTGGTGTTTGAAGACCCCTTCAAAAAGGACGCGCGTTTGTTTGTCAGGTTGTTTGCCTTGCTTTCCCGGCCGTTGCCTTCAATTGTGCTTCGCAGGATGCGGTGGGCAGCGAGGACGGTGGCGAGGCCAACTCAAGCCATGCGTTGCCGTTCTTGCGCACCCATTGTGTTAGATATGTGGGGCGATTGTCGCAGGCAGAATTTGAAAGCCCCACCATGGATTTCATCCAGACTGTTCTGGCGAGCTGTGCGCCGCAGGCCGGTTTTTTCTGATGTCTCGGTCTTTGCCTTGCCGCTTTCAAACACACATCCTTCAGGACTTGGATGAAACGTTTAAGGGCGTCTTCCTTGGTGTTTCTCTTTTGTTTCCGGCCAGGTCAATTTCGAGGACCCTGCGTTTAACGATTTTACAAGCGAGGCCTGAACGAATGTTTCGCTCAGCCCGAATTTTATTTTGTCTTGCTATTGATATTGCAATGTAGGTGTTCCTCGATTGGCTGCAGTCCGGGGTGGAGGCGCGCGCTTTAATCGACAGAATTGTAGCTAAAGTTGTCTGGCCTTGCGAGGTGCCGCGGCCAACGGCGGTGAGGCGACGGCGCAAGCAGTGGATCTCTGCGCGGCTCTCAACTTTAAGTGTTGTAAAATGAAAAGATCACGCACGTCGGCTCGCGGACATGCACGCTTTAAAGGTGGTCCCGGCCAGCGCTTACATCGCCTTCTACGAGGCTGAGCGGAAACCGTTTCTTTAGTCTGACGTTGCGCGAGTACACTTTGATACACAGGCACCTCGCCGCCGGAGGGGCAACCGTGGGGCTTGCAGAACGAAGGCCGGAAGCAGGACGGTTGTGATGAAACGTTCTTGTTGTCGTCCCTGCTGTTGTTGATCGGATCCTGGGAGGTGAAGCAGGCACCTGCAAGACCACGGTTCCCCGAGGCCGCTTGGACATACTTTAAGTTTGTTTATTTAAATTTGTTGTAATAATCCTTTGCAAAGGACTTGCGGCGGCCGCAAAGGACTTGCAAAGGACCCGCTCCGCCTGCCAAGGCCCCACTGCAAAAACTTTTGCGCGTTTTGGTGTTTAAACAATAAGACGAAAACGGTTTACATACACGCTGTGACGCGTTTTTTGGTTGTGCGAAGGCAGCTCCGATTTTTGCGTCGCCTGTGACGCCCTCCGCCTCCCCTTCACGGACTGCGCGGCTCTTGGACACACCGGGCCCAATTCGTTGATCCAACCAGCCCTTTTCCCCTTTTAAGGCCGCCGACACGGCCTTCATGCGAAAGCATGCAAGGCAAGGGCTGGTCCACGCATCAGCGACGTGCCCCCCCAGCCAATATTTAAACCTTGGCTGGGGGAAGCGGCTCCGGGCCGGGACCTCAGAAGCCCGAGCGTTTTCAAGCCCTTGTGGTCTACGCGTGCCCCGACCCTTGTGAACTTGCAGGGAGACGTCAACATAGGGGTGCTGACCAAGAAGGCGGGCGGCCGAAAACCATTGGTTTGAAATTAGTGCAGGAGCGAAACCGCCTCGCCCACACCATTCACGGCAATTGTGCCCTCCCGGCTTTCTTGGCCAACAAGGAGCAATTATTAATATGAGAAGTGAAGGTCTAGTCCACGAACCAAAGGCAACGGGCAAGAAACTAAGAAAGTGGTCACCCGTCCAATCGAGGAGGCCAAAGTCACCTTGATCGACACCACCGCGGTGCCCCGCATCACGATCGCGCGCCTTGGCTGGAAAGTCCAGGATCGGTACAACACGGAGAGGCAGAGAGGTCATGTCTGTTGGTTGTTAAATATCTGCGTGCTAGACATATAGGGGGAGAGATGTGGAGAGGTGCAACAAAAAAACGTTCTTGTTATCATGATATGTTTAATAACGAACATGGTTTTCTGTGTTTGCACCCACAGCACTCAGGATGGAAACCGCCACAAACAACGGGGATGTGTCGCAGTTAGATAGGAGACCTTGTAGGAAGGTAGATCATCATAAGTCATAAATGATCTTGGCAAATTAATTAATGGTTGCTACCCACGAATGATGATCCACTATCAGGAAGCCTCTTTTGCAGGCCGTGCCAGAAGGAAGCAGCAGTGTCAGTTCAGAAATCTACAAGCTGATGATTTTTGTTGCACAGCATGTTGTGAACAAATTTCTATGGAAGCTCCGTTTGCATGCGAGTTTACATTACTTGATCCGTGTATCATTTGGTTGTGCAACTCATCTGGAATTTCTGTGACGTTGCCAAGACATGAAGGTGAAGAAGGTAGCTGCAACGATGTCGAAGCGGATGGGAAGTTCTTTTTGGAATAAGGGTAACAGTCTACTGAGTCTACTATCAGTCTACTGTGTTTTCTGTGCACAGGCCAAATCCATTATAGGGATCAATATATTATTGGCAAGCAACTTGCCATAGTATAGGATGTTTGAAATCTACAACCAGCTGCCCTCCACTATTATTTTGGAGCCAACATTGTTTGCTTTGTGGGCTTACCACAACATCGCAGGAGGCTTCACTTTGCGAATGTTTGCACCTGACAAATAATATCAAATAATGAGACATGACGAGAGAAGAAGAGGTACACATCTACCCTGCTTAGTCGAACTCCCCTTGAAGGGACACTATATGGAATACAGTTGCGTGCTTTCCAGCCTCTACGAAGCAAATCCCAGTCTCAAAATTTTGAAGCCAAGCAGGTCTTGGTTGCAGTTGGTTGCAGTATGTTGCAGTGCATGTTGCGGATCCAGTGAGAAAATGAGGCAGAAGATGGACGTGCTGTCCTCACAGGCGGGTTTTGATGAAGACAAGTGAAGGATGACAGGGACATCATACTTACTCCAATCACTTTAGATGTGGAAAAAGGTTTCACCAAAGTATATTGTATTTTTTTTGCCTCACCTGTGTTTTGCCTCTGTTTATAGCGCCGTGTTTTTCGGAACGCGCTTTGGTGGGCTCGCTCGGAACGCCCGTTCGTCGCACCTGCACGGGTCGCACAGGCCAAGTGCGCTGGGCATCGCGCCGTGTTAGAAGGCGCGTGGGCCGGGCCTCGTGTGACGCGACGCGACGTGACGTGACACCGCATCGCACGAAGGCCTCGGGATCTATATAGGTCCCTAGGGCTCCAACCCTATCCTCAGAAGGTGGTTAGACCCCCAAAACCCACCCCAACCACCTTCGAAACGGAGGTTGTTGGAGCCCTAGGGGTTATGCTTTGAAGGCCTTCAACAGGTTGTGGACTTTGGTTTCAGATCCAGGATGTGTCAACATCAATGATTGCTGATGTGTCCACCCGACAGAGTTATGTTTTGTCCAGCTGGATGGTCTTCTTGTATGAAAGTAACATCTGGTCAAAGTGGGTGTTCCATGTTGTTCCTAGTTTTCGTTCGCCTCAGCCAGCTTCATTTGTTGGCCGGTGTCAGGAGGTGTCAGGTATCCGTTTGTCCATGTCAAGTCCCAAACTTTGAAGGAGCCTGAGTTTGCTGAGTATCTGGGAAGAGGAAACATGATGAAAACACCATGAAACACTCTTCCTGCAAGCGGAAGTGAGGTCTTTCCCCCGTGTTTTGTAGAGGATGTTCCTGGTCTTTCAAGGAACCCAAGTCGTCAATGAAACACCGGTCGCCATTCGCTCAACTGGCCTGGCCTGCGACTGGTCGAGGCGCCTATGCCTTCGAGCGATTCTACCAAGGCAAGACACGTGCTCCGAGCGCCGAAGCTGACCCCAAAAGACGTGTTTTGCCTCCAAGCTACTTGCAATGGCCTCCAACCTAGTAACTATAGTAGCAATGGCCTCCATCCAAAAAGACATTTTTTTCGCATTCCGAAATTCCAAAGGAGGTTGGTTTCAGGGGTGGGCGGACACTGCGGAAGAAGCAGAACTCTTTGCTACGTGGTGTTTGGGACTTCGTAACTACGTGGTGTTTGGGACTTCGCACTGAAGGCGACTCAACCTTCCACGTTCGACTGTAGAAGAGTGGTTCCGCCTGCTTAGCCCCAAGACCCTGCAACTTGAACGAACTTGAAAAAAACACCAAGGAAAATAGGTGTTCAGGGTGGTTTTCAGGTTCAATGTGGTCGTGAATCCCCTGAAAACCACCTGGTCTTCCTATGTTCCAGGTGAATCTTCCCGGTTTTGTAGATGGAGAAGAGAGATGGATTGTTCATCTGGGTTTCCACCAGTTTGGGATCACTCTCAGTTCCGAAGTCTCTTCGTTGCACCGACCCGAAGAATGTTCGGAGGAGCCACGGCCGATACAGCCCCTCAGTCAGCTGACTGCCCGGTTGTGCCTATGTCGCGCTGAGAACAGCTGGAGGTTGTGCCTTTCTGACATCCTTTGACCAATCCTTTTCCTGCCACTCTTTCCTATATCACACTTGTCACTTTCTTAAGTCATAGACCTGAGGCGATCTTGGATTCAAGCTTTTTTCTGTCCGGCGGCTCGCTCGCCATCGCGCCCTGCGCCTTTTTTTCAAGGCAGACCGAGACCTCGGTCGACCGCCGCTGGCGAGCCAGGTGAGATCACCGCGGCCGGCAAGTATCCGCCCTGCCACACCATGGCCGCGACCTCGCAAATTGACGGGCGATCGACCCGTCGACTTCCGCGTTTCCGCGTAGAGCCACAGGTAGCGACCACGCCCAAGAAGAGCTTTTTTGGGTCTCCAAGGTAGAAGAAACGGCAAGGTGTTGGATTTGGTACCCTTTTTTATGTTTGTTTGGGGGCGGCTCATAGAAACAGTCTGAAAACAGGAACAAGCTGCAGCTGCTTGTGCAATGCTCTTTGAATCTGGGCGTGTATTGAAATAGGGATAACGGGATACTCCCAAAGACCCCCTGGAAGAAGGAAAATGGACCAGTCTAGATCTCCTTTGTTAAAATACACACCCATCTCTTATATATACACCTGGAGCCCCAAACAACCGGAAATGAATGAGTTTCCACAAACAACCACTTGGGCGTGAAAAAAAGGATCTCAATTGCCGTATTGGATCATATATGGAACATCCATGTGTTTCTGGTTGTTCAGGTTTTATTGTACCTTTATACCTGCACGTCTCGACCTGATCAGCGACGGTTTTCGTGAACATCGGTGCCGTTCCGAGCAGTGACTGCGGCGGATGAACCGCAGGCTGTGGGTTCCGTGAAAGGCGTCGCAACCCGAGATCCGGTCATCGGTGCATTGCAAAGAAGCCGTCAAAGCACAAAGGGACGCCAGTAAGGAGATCTCCCCTTCAATGCAATAAAAAGGACGTCACTATCGGTTGGTAGGCTATCGGTGATTGGTAGGTTTGGGTTTAGATTTTTTCTGTGGGGTATTGGAATTGCAAAGCACATTTACGGAGAGCAGGTACTTGTCATAATACTTTGCAGATTGAGTAGGAAGTAAGGTAGTACTGCATGGAAGTTAGACACAACCAGATCCAGATCACTGGTAGGGCATGGTACTCATGCACAGACCTAAGATATTCTAAGATTAGCTAAACAGCAGTTTTATAGCTGCTAAAGATCAATGCAAAGCCTAATCAAAAATAGCTCCAATTCTTCATTGCCTACCACCAGAGGTTCAACCCCTCCTAAACCGGCACGTACCTGGTGAGCTTTGGTAGATCTTGGTAGCAAAAAAACAGACACATTTAAACCTCAATGAACTGAAACCATTTTGTGTGTTTGGGATTGTTTTGCTTTGTTCCCTAACTCGCCTAACTTGCCGATATGCATGCCGATGTTCTCTACATGACTCTCCCCTATGACGCATTTTCTTCAACCATGTTCAAGCAACCTCTCCGCCGCCCTAGGTCTTGGGCATCGGTGTCGCCGGTCTGGCGGCCGGGAGTCCGGTCTGGCGCCGGTCACGTTCGGTGCCGACGAGCGGGCGGTTTGGGATCGGTTTGGATGGATAGTATAGACCTTGAATAGTACCATTGAATGTGAATCCGTTCAGGAAACACCGACATATGTTGAAACAGGTGGAAACATGTTGAAATAGTATATAGGTGCAATGTCACTGGTCCCCTGGGTGTCACTGGTCCCCTGGGTCCCTGGGTGTTTTTTCATCCAAGACCGAAAGATCGCCCAATTTGGTCCCTCGGAGCATCTGATGGTGGTCACCAAGCACCTCTCCGTCCGGACATCTGCGGGCGGAGTGCTGGTCTGTGTTCACGGCAATAGTTCCTCGGAGTGCCGACCTAGACTCACAACACGGGTTGCATGGTAAGCCATGCAAGAGGGGTGCTTGCGAATGGAGATTTCGCAACCCCCTTCGGAGTTTGCAGATGAAAAACCATTCGCATGGGGGGTGCCAAACACCATGGGCCTCCCCTCAGAGAAGGCTGATCCCAAGTGGCACGTCTCTCCAACCTGATGTTTTTCGAGGAGGTTTCGAGTTGTTCAAATCCGGTGACCCCACTGATTTTCCCAGATGCACTACTGGTGGACGCACCCAAGCAGCCGCTAGCCTCATCTGCCACCAAGGCCATGGGCACCTCCAGCGCTCTGGGGAGCGTGGTGCGTGCCTGGGATGTTCGAGACGTCAGTGACCAGGCGAGGTCACGGCTCCGCACGGCTCCGCGGGGCTCCGCGGAGGAAGACGGGCCGCGAGGTCCGAGGTCGCCGCGAGGTCCGAGCGAAGAGCAACGGTCCAAGTTCCATTCTTCCCCACGGGCGCCGGCTTGGAGATCCCTGGCGCCGAAGTCGACGGCTTGGATGATATAACTTGAACTTCCAGGACCTTCAGTACGTGACCGTCCTTGAGATCAAATGAGGTCACTTAGAGACTCCGTCACGAACTGAAGGTCCTGGTTGATATTGTATACAATGTTATCATGGCTGGTTCGCAAGTTCCTCTTTTTGTGACTGTGCGAGGGCCACTTGGCTGATCCGTTCCAGCTAAGAGCACGACTAGCAGTCTTCCTCGAACTTCTGGAGGGCTCGGATCGATGATTTCCCCGTGGCCCGTGGGGTGTTAATTCCAGGGAGTCTTGCGAGGGTTTAATTGGAATGATGCCAATGAACAACTGGATAGGTTTAATCAGGCTTATATAGTACAGTGAGACTGGTACTCGTAGGCGATATCAATTTCTGACATTGTGACTCCTGTCCTTTTGAAGTCCTCTATAAGATTTTGACCTTGTGTCAGCCTCTCAATTGTAGATGCACATGAAACATCAGAGATCTGATTGCCAAGTGGTGCCTATGAATATGACTTGAGTTACTGGGAAACATTCGACCACCGCATACGAATATGCGGCATGAACTTGAAGTCATCCTGTTGCTGTCATCACGCTGTCAAACAAAAAATAGGACAAAAAACAGAGGTCTGGGACTGCCGCGTGGGCGGCCCGCGCTGGCATATATGCGCTGTGCTAGCATGCGCTGTGCTAGCATGTGCTGCGCCAGCATGCGCGGCTCGCGGTAGGTGAAGTCGATGGGCGGCAAATGGATTACTGTGGACTTCAAGGACTGCGAACGGTTGAACCAAAGAAGCATGAACAAGTGGGTTGGTCCCATGCGCCTCTCCGAAAAGAAGTGTGGGTGTTGCTTGTTCCTTTTTTGAGCCGGAGGCTTATAGGCGGTATGTTTGGACACGGGGACGAGAAACCAAAGATTTGCTGTATAGATTATGGAACTTTGAGCCTTAAACCCATCATTGGCAGGGCAGGGTTTTCTGTTTGCAACACACACAAAAACACAAACGCCATTGTGAAAGTTTCACTGACCCAACGACTGGGATGACTGACCTCTGTTGGCAGCCACGTTTCGGGTCTTCAACAACTGTGCTTCCAGTCATGGAACACGAGGTTAACACATAACACACTACAGGTCCAAAGACCTCATTCTACTGGTGTTGGTCATATAAAAACATATACAAACACTGCTCAACTGACTAGTGCTTAGCAGGGAATAAGGGAATGAGCTCCCAATAGAGATTCCTTTGGATCCATTCCCTCATTCCCTACTAAGCACAAGTCAGTCAATGAGGTACGGACCAAGGTTTGACTGGGTCTTTGGACCCCAAGGCTGTCGAGTGCTGGCCCTGGCTGTTTCCGCTGTCGTCCTGGCGTCCTGGCTGCGGGAGTGCACCACAAATATAGCAAGTTGATTGGGGAAGAAAACATCCATCAGAAAGGGATGATTGGAGGTCGGAGATGATCAATGATTATCACATAGACCTTTGGATGTGCTCACTGTGCTCAGTGTGCGACAGGAGGATGGCGCTGGTGCCGGCGGTTATGCCAAGGAGTCCTCCAAGGAATTTCAAGAGGCCAGCAAATAGAAGAAAGAAGAAAGAAGAAGAATACCATATCATCAAACACAGCCATGTGGCATAAGACCATCACCCTCAGGTATGCCTATAGTGATACGGAACATGGGGTGACGATGGGGGGCCCATGTGTCCTTTTACCCGTTCAGAGAAGGTAACTTATACCCAGACACGACTAATGGGACTGCCATATATGCCTACATTGGGCCCTCAAACCACCCCAACTGATCGGCATCTATGGCAGTCCCATGGAGTGTCTGGGATAGGGATCGGTGGGACCGTCGGGTTCGATGTGGAGAAAGCCGAGACATTCCAACTTCTGTATTTTTCCGGATGTATCCCATGACCGTCGTGAGAGTCCGTAAAAGATTATAATATATATATATATCATAATAACCAACCAACCATCAAACACATGATATATGTGCAGTATATAAAATGGTCTTTACGATGATATGTTGGTATTCAGAAAGGCCTTTAATACCATCGATTCAATTGGTCGCCTGGTCATGGGATGTTTGAGATACCCCAGGGTCCTATTGAGTGTGTTCCCAACTGTGTCACCCTTCCAACTTCCAATCCGAGTCGACGCTTGTGAGGAGAGCTTTTCCTCTGAGCTAAGGCTGGAAGTGAATGGCACGCCCCTGTTTGGTCTTCAGATTGACATGGTCTTCCGAACTCGACCATGTTCATCCATTTTCATCCATGTTCCACTTCCATGATCTTCCATGGTGAGTTGCAGGGAGAGGGAGTAAGTCACTTTTGGGCCTTTTGGGGTGATGCTCCCCGCTGACCCGTCGCCCCAAAGGGGGCCCATGTCACTTCGAGCAGACGGCGCGCCGACACGTCGACCCTGCTCCCGGTGCACGAAGGCTCAGAAGGCGACCTTCCACAAGCACGCGAAAGAGCAGGGAGACCTGTTTTCACCGGCGATGCTGCGATGGGCATGAAAGAGCAGGTTCACTGAAGCATGGAAAGACAAACATGTATTGTTCTTGGGGCAGAGGGCAAGTCCCAGTCGATGAGGGCAACTCCCAGAGGATGACTTTCAAGTGTTCAGAGTGTAGGCAGTTGGCTTAAAGTGACAGGTGCCCGTTGGCAAAAGAGAAACAATATAGACACAACATGAACTCTCTCAACATGGATCAAAAGGGATGGACCGACCCTACTGCTGTACGATCTATTTTTTGGTTGAAGCACCTATTGTCATGCAGGGTTGCATTTTTGGGTTTGCATGTTTGGAAGACTTCCTCAAAACTGAACATCTGGACCTCTATAGTCTATAGCCAATTCTTGCAGCCTCTCTTTCGCCGCTCTCACGTCCCGACTTGCTGCCACTGTGACACTCGTGCGTCGTGCACGACGCACTCGTCCCGCTCCAGTTGCCGAGGGTGGACATCATCATCAGCACCGCCGCCATCCCTGGGAGGAAGACGCTTCGGCTTGGAAGACGAGCCGCTTTCGCTCGCGCGGGGAAAGAGGGGGGAACATCCGAGATCGGAGGAGGATCCAGCGCTGGGGGCCTTGGGGAGGAGGATCCGGAACCTGACGATGTGCTTCAGAGGATCCGGGCCTGGGGCCAGACCGGTGATGTGGGATTTTCCCGGGTGGGTTAGATCCCCAAACCTGGTGACTTCCTTTATATGTCTTATTTCTTCCAGGCTTCCAGGCGTCAGCAAATCCGAGAGGGCCAATGAGTCAACGAGGCGCAGTCCATTTCCGGAGCTTGACCTTCCTCCTCACGTGATCAAGCTTCAGCTAAGAGTCCAACAGTCCAGAGGCTACAGCTAGGGCTAGACTACAGACTCGGCTTCCAGTTGGCTTTGTTGCCTCAAATGCTGTTTTTGTGTCGAAAGCGACGTCACTAGTTGAACTAGTTGGGGTAGTACTTTGGGTGCAGCAGTGCCACTCGGACTCATAACATTTCGCAGAGGACCAGTGACTATAGTGTGTAAACATTCTTCTTCAGGGCAGAGTGGTCGCTTTTGACGAACATCCCCTACCCTCAAGAAGTCCAAAGACTGTTGGCACCAGCGAATCTGGGAATTCCGAACATGGATATAGATGCATGGTGGAAATCGATCTTTGGTTCACCCATAGTCACCCCAAAGATGATTAAAAAGGTCTCGGATTTATATATTCCAGTGAAGTGACCCGGGGTATTTACGGGATATAGTGACTGATATACTTCAACCTTTTGTTCGAATGTAGAAGATAGCGCCTGCGCTTGCAGAACCTTCTGGCCCCTCACACGAAGTGTTTGTAGAGCTTTGGCCAAGCCTTCCAGGTCTAGCTTTATAGAACAGTTTTGTTTGTTCTCTACACGTTTGCATGTTACTTTGCTGACCATGACTAAAACACTGGCAAAACACCAATTTCTGAAGGTAAACCACCGAAACGATACTCACATCCCCCATGCCTCGCGTCTTTTTGCCCGCCTCCCTGAACGCCTACCCTCGCCTTGTGGTGCCGGATGCCGGCCGCGGCGCCGGGCCGAAGGTCACCGGTGCTCATCGAGGACTACATGGTGACTGGGGACGCCAGAGACAACTGGACGCGACGACGCGAGACTTCAGGAGACGACCATGTCGTCCCGGGAAGAATCCTTTTGGTACGGTGTCGTTGTTCAGCCTGGATGTGCTCATCTGGGGAATCTGGAGAATATAACAGTAATTCAGTTCAATGGGTTTCCTGGATCCTGGATTTGCTCATCCAAGTCGTTTTCTCGCCGTGAGAATGCATGCTTTGTCCTCATCGATGAGAAGTCGGCTTCGCTCGCAAGAACTGAGATGAGAGGTTCTTTTGCGTTTTCCTCAGGGACCAGTGTTTTTGGTCGGGGGACTGTGAAGCAGGTGGCACTAGGAGCATAGCGCCCTCCTCCTCGTCCTCCTCCTGCCTCGTCCTCAACCGCGATTTCTGGCTGGCAGCGTTCCCCGCCGAACCTCAACCGCGAATTCTGAAGGATTCTTCGTGAGAGATAGTACTTCCATCTTTTAAAAGGTATTCCAAAAATATGGTTGGAATCAGGTTTTCCACATCGATATGTCAAGTGTGGAGCTCCTGGTCTGTACTTGCAGCACAGGTTGCAAGGCCATGGCATGCAAGCATGACAGGCCAAGTTCTGACACACAGCATGAGTTGCAGAGCTATCATGGTATCAAAGCTTCAAGTATCATGACACAAAAAAGTTTGTATCACACTCACACTTAAGCTGGGCTTTTAGCAAAATAATACTTGCTGTTGTATGTGTTTCGTTTTGTTTGTTATTGTTCTTTAACTTGTTACTTTTTTGGAGCTTGGAAATTTGAGAGTCGGACAGTGACCGACATCATGGGATCACTAGATCATTCTTTCATATTTTTCCTTTGCGTTCATGGGCCACATGTATCTTCCGAAGGGCTGCAGTGCAATGAGTCAAGCAAACCAAAAGCCCCACGAGGATATTTCGGAGCATAAGTACAATCCATTCAAAAACCAAAGGCTCATAACTAGAGCTGTGTGCTGTTGATCAGTGATGTCAATCATCATTTGGTTTGGACTAAGTGGAAGCTTACAAATTGCTGTTGAACACTGGCTCTCCCAAAGAAGCGCAGGACCGCAAGTTTGATAGAATCAGGGCTGTCTTTGAAGAAAACGGTGCTCACTGTCAACGAACTGGCATCACCTGGAAGTTTCAGGGTAAGCAATGCTGCAGAAAGTTTTGGATTCAGTGCACGGGCCAGGCTTCGAACTTGTTGAAGCAGCTCAGGAGAGGGCACACTACAAGACCTGAGGCTGCCCCACGGTTGCCGAAACCTGAGCCAGCGCTGGACCGAGTGAATGTTTGGCTTCTTGACTGCTATCAGCATTTGGCTGATCCATTGGCCTCGCCTGGCAACGAGGATGTGCCAGCGAAACTGATGGAGCACTTGGAAGATCCTCCTGAAATTTTGGATGATGTAGCTCATCCCTTGTATGCCCTGTCCTTCAATGTTGGAACCGACGACAAACGTCGCATGGCTGGAAGACGCGAGGCGAAGCATGTCACTGGCGCAGTCCTCTTCAGAGTTTGCGAAATGTTCTTCCTGCTCCCTGTGGACAACGCGAAGGATTGTGCCCGGCAACGTCTGAGAGCAACTGCCTTTTCCGCTCCAGAGAAGGCAAGAAACTTTGTATACCAAGAAGCTTACTAGACTGTCTCAGAAGCTTTGCACACCAAAAAGCTTTCTAGACTGTCTTAGAAGCTTTGTATACCAAGAAGCTTACTAGATTGCTTCCGCACTGCAGGGGCCATGTCTGCGACCTTCTTGACAGCCTCTGAGCGAGGTGTACTCGGCGCGCCGCCCTTGGGCTTGGGTTTGATTGGCCGTCTTGACGGCCTGTCGGCCGGATTCTCACTGGTGTGGACGTAGGCCCACACCCCGTGGCAACCTGAGGCAAGTAACAAGGCATTGATGCGGCTGATTGTGCGGCGCAGCTTAGGACTGCTACTGCGCCCTCGGGATAATGAATGAAGACAGACTATAGGCTGTCAACCATGTGGACGAACTTGGACTTTATGGCTCTCTTCTTGATCACCTTCCACCGAAGTGATGTCAGGACTGCTCTCATTTCTAATACGTTAAGGTGCTGGGCTTCCCCTCCAATGCCATCTATACCATCCTACAACCAAAGTCGAAGCGTTTCTTTGGTGACAGATCCAGTGTTCCAGATCTTGGAATAAAGTTCCTTTGAGAATCAAAAACCTATAAGAAGAGCTTCCACGTGCTTCGATCGGCCAGTTGATGTCCCGTCTGGAAGACCGGCGGGCAAAGAACGTCGTTGTCATGAAGCAAAATCCGTCGCAAAAAAAATACTTTACTCGAGTGATCCCCACCAAGATATTTGAGGAATATGTTGCTATGGTCGTGAGTCTCGTGGTTCTCGACGTTGCTTGTGGGTCCTCTGGTTGCGTTCGTGGTTGTGTGTTTGTGATTGTGTGTTTGTGATTGTATGTTTGTGATTGTCCGTTTGTGGTTGTGTTTGTGCTTGTGTGTTTGTAGTTGTGTGGTTGTGTGTTTGTTGACGTGTTTGCGGTTGTGTGATTTGTGATGGTGTGTTTATGATTGTGTGATTTGTGGTTGTGTGTTTGGGTTTGTGGTTGTGTTGTGATTGTGTGCTTGTCGTTGAGGTCCAGCAGCGCCCAGTGCGCTGGGGAGCTGCTGGCGGTTGAGGCCCGGCGGGGAACACTGCCATCCGGAGCATTGACCGACAGCTCCATCCAATCTCACCAATCCTCCAAGTTACTCCGCGTACTCAGGAGATTCCTGAGCTATAGGCCGAACCTGATGCGGTGGTAAACCAAGCCCTCGTTACTTTGAACGATGTTTCGATGGCTCTGCTTCAATGTCTGCGGTGCTTTCAGGCAGACTCCTTTGGGATGAAAAACATAATTCAATGGCGGCATAACGCGCAGCCAAATCCTTCAAGAAACAAACTGCTCCATGTATCTGGACGCCCTCCCGTATCCGTGCAGTGGCAGGTATTGTACCATTTCGGTGGTCATCTCGTTGCTCGACCCCGGAGGCACCCTATAGGTCCAACAACGGGCGAGACGTTGAGCAGGGCTGGGGAATTGCCTGTTGTAAGGTGCAGCAGCTTGAAGACACCCTAGTGCGCCCTAGTGTTAGTGCGATGCCTGGTGCCCGGGCGATGTTTTTGTTTGCCTTGCTGCTCTGTGACAAGCACATGTGTATGTTGCCAAGTTTTGCAACCCTGAAGAAGCTGCAATTCAGCTGCTTTTGAATAGAGAGCAATCTTGCTATGAAAGCCGCAAAGGTGTTTCCACAGGCATGCTTCTCATCAGTGGGTGCCTTGCATCTTGTGGACAAAGTCACCAACTGTCATCTGTGTCTTTGGTGTAAAGGTAGAGCAGCTTGGAGCCATCTCAGTCCTCTTAGATGAGCCAGTAGCACATGGCTAGCACTTTGTTGAAAGAGCCAGCAGTGAAACAGTATGCTTTTGGATCTTTTAGCCAATGAAGCAGGTGTAAAGCTGGAAGTGCCTGTATTGGCTTAAACAGATTGTATATAGGCCATAAAAGGCGTATAGTAGCCTGCTTGTCTGCTTCCATGCACTGTTTTGCAGCAAAGACTGTTGCTATTCACGCCAACAGCCACCTGACCCCAGAAAGGTGCACCATAGGATTACCCACGGTGCACTTTGCACAAGCCATTTTGATGCTTGTGAAAGCCCCTATGCCTGTACAAGAAACTGTTTGAAGGAGACTTCAGCACCGAGCAGCTCGAACAAGCGAGCCGCAGAATCAGAGGAATTAGCAGCTTCTTGCGGCTTGGGCGCCAATGCTTTCAGTGTGGCGACCGACCTGTTCAACTCTTGTCGGAATTCGTTCACGCCCCTGCTCGGGGGACCGGAAAGTTCAAAGGGGCTGTCAAACCAAGGCAGGTCAACAAAGAGCGCAAATAGGTGGAAGTAGCCTGAGCATTGTCCGGCGGGGAGCGCTGAGACTGCGAGCCGGAGCTTGTGGTTGAGGTCCGGCGGGGAACACTGCCATCCGGAGCTGGCAGTTGAGGCCAGCGGGGAACACTTCCACGCGGAACTCGTGGTTGAGGTCCGGCGGGGAACACTGCGAACACTGCCAACCAGAAAGGATTTGTGGGAGATAGTACTTCCATCCTTTAAAAAAGTATTCCCAAAATACAAACAAACAAACAAAATTGACCAGTTGAAGTCCTTCAGCTATGTAGCACCTTGTGTGTGACTGCACAATGGGTTGATCGCAGATATCTAAAACCTATGCAGGCCTCAAGGCTTAAATTGCTCACAGAGATTTGGTAAAAACAAAGTTTAAGGTACAAAGTTTAAAAAACTATATAATTCCAACATCTTTCCAACAAAGAATTTAATTTTTTGAAGCTTGGAACATTGACCTGTCCGCTGTCAGTCCTTCCCCCCCGACTCTATTTGTCTTGCCTGCTAGCGTTTACTTTGAAACATCTGGCTGCCAAGACGCAAGAGCCTTTTTTTGCCGCACTTCTCTTCTGGTCCTTCAAGATCCTTCATGGGCGTATGGCTCTCGGGTTAGATTCAAGAGGGTATGGCTTGAACTCGTCATTCGGCAGGTTCAGAATAGTCACCAGATTTGGCTCTCAATGGATCGGTCTCCATGCGCTTCAAGGCTGCGATGCCAAAAGCCAAGACAAAGAAATTCCAGTATTCACTTTCGAATGCAGTGGCTTCAACCACCTTCCGGCCAAACTCTTTGCAAAGCTCGAAGTGGTCCAGCTCGAAGTGGTCTAGCTGGGCGAGTAGAGTTGCGAACTCTGAAAACTTGAGCGCCATTCGCACAGAGGAACTAAGCACAAAGGAATAATTGAATTCAGATTGGATATAGACCACAGAAAGTTGCTGCAAGCCTCAAACTACAATCATTCAAGACCGAGTGGGCGCCAAGCCCGTTTTACACCAAAACAACGGTCGACTCAAAACGTGCAACATCCACAAAGAATCAGCTCAATGGACGCAAGTTGAGTGAATCCTGAACATCATGTTGTACTGAGGCGCGGTCTGAGTCTCACTTGTTCACAGCCACCGGCTTGTTTTCAGTCGGTGGCTGTTCTTCCACTTCCTTCTTCGCTGGCCAGAATCTGGCAATCCACCAGCCCTTGCAGATGTGCAAGCGTGGCGGGCGGTCTTGGGAGCAACCTGTTGTTTTTTGTTCGTTTGTTGTCATTTTTTATTGTCTAAAAAGCCACCAGTCGTTGGTTGTTTTGTTTTGTTTGGTCTCAAAAAACGTTTTGTTCTGGTAATCTGTCTCCAAAGTTTACTTGGAGTTCATTTGTGATTTGGAACTGTAACAGGCTAAGGGCCATGAGTCAAGATACTTTTTTCTGGCCGTACAGTCTGGACTTGCAAAAGTAGTCTGGGTGACACTGCTGGCTGAACGAAAAGCTTGTCAATCCACTTTGATGCGATAGACCCATCCATCAGGATGCTTGCGGAAACCTCCCACGCTTTCTCTCAGCCTTATCTCTGCACTCTGCGCATCAAACTTTGGGTGTTTCCTTTGCACGGCGCTTCCCACAACCAAAGCGTAGAAACTGGGCAGCACCTTGATGTCGTCAACAGTCACTGGCTCCGAAGGGCCTGCTTCACTTGAAGCAGGCCGTATGCGAACTGCTGGCGCCGGCGCTTTCATCTTGGATTTGGAAGCTGGACATGGCTTTGGGCTGTGAAGAGCAGCAGCAGCGGCTGCACCTCGTGCAGAAGGAACTGGGCCAGCACCAGGAGCATCATTTGCTAGTGAGGGCCTCGCATCGTCAGCCCATGGAGCAGCATCATGGGCAGCACCCGAAGACCCTGCTTCAGGTTCTACTGTGCCAGAGTTGGAGGTTCTCAAGGCCACGGCCGGCCGCTTCAATGCCGCGACAGCTGGTCGTTTCATGCTCATTCTGCCAGTGGCCTTGGCCACTTTGACTGCGCGAGGAGGAGGCACATCAACATCACGAATCGCTTCCAAGCCTTTGGTATCAGGCTCTTGGAACCGAATCTCTTCTCCATCAAGTGAAAAATATATCCAGATTGACTGGATCTGGTACGAGGCCTTCTTGGTTTGCTCTGCACAACTCCCCAAGCCAACTATTTCAGCTGTGTGTCGGAACTCCTGTGTTGGCTGACATGGCTTCAGGTCACTTTCATTCAACTGAAGCCAGAGCTTGGCTGGCAAGGTCAGTTCTGGTGGCTGCGACTGCCCTTTGTCGGAAATGAACCGCTTTACAGTGAGGCAAACATTCACATCACCTTTCTCTGGTTGCCATGACTGCCAATCCTCGTGGTGGCACTCAATCTCCGAATGTCTTCGCAAAAACTCTCGGCGTTCAAAGCCCCACAAATGATTTGCACCCTGGGATTTCGTGGAAGTCAATCCCGAGATGTTGCTCCCAACGCCCAAGTGAAACCATTACTTGAAAATCCATGTGTTGTCCATGATCTCCACGCGCAAACTCCTTCCAGTTTCAGGTTGGCTTCCATCATTTCCTTCACAGCTGTTGCGTGTTTGATCAACGTGCCAAGGAGGTAGACCTTTGGTCTAGATCGTTGTGGGTGTGCTGAGTCGGCAAGTCTGGCATCCGACGCTTCTAAAATGTTCGGCTGCTAGCTGGGCCAGGAAGCGCCCAAATACTTTTGTCTTTTGGATTCACGGGGAGTATTGTCTACTGCCAAGCACAAACTTTCAGGCAGACCCAATTCCATCAACTTCGCCCAGCCTACATCCAAAGCCAGTGCCACCACGCTGCACTGCATGCTGGAAAGAGCAAGAGAGCATACCCTTGGCAAACGGACAGCGCTGCAGCAAGTCACTGACAGCGATGCCAGCTACACAGAATCCAGTGACAGTGACAGTAGCACCTCTGATACTGATGAAAGCTGACGAGAAATTTGTTGTTTGGGGGGTGGGCAGGGTTTGTATTCGTGATATTGATTCATGTATATAGAGGCGCGTCAGATTGGAGTTTGCCTGGCAAGTGTTGCATTTTGGTAGCAACCTGGTGCATGAGGTCATGCCACTTACTAATTCCCTTGCTACATATTGACATACATCCACACACACACACATACATGTGCAAGCGCATGCGTGATCCAAAACAGGTGTGGACAAAACCAGCAAAAGCGATAGGCCCCTTCCAAAAGGCGATCGTGTGGTTGATCATGGCCCTTTGGTTTACAGGACGTTTCGGCAGACGCACATATATACAGGACGTTTCGGCAGACGTTTTGAGGTCAGGCGGTTCTACTATTGTGCGAAGCCGTGTAGTTTGGTGTGGCTGATCTTCTCGGCCGAGGTGAAAGACATGAAATCTGGCAGCGTCATCGTCGACCTGGCTGCAGCAGGCATGCCTGGTCCAGCTCCAGGTCTGTAAGTGATCAGAGGTCGTGTCTACATTGAGCTGCGGTGAGTCTTTCTTGTATCTACTGCACTGCTGTATAGCCCGCTAAGCGATTCATTTTGGGGTTGGGTGGTGTCTACATTATAGGCCCTTCGTTGGAAAGTGTATCTCGTAGAAGCGAATCCACCCGTGAATTCTCAACAATTGGGGTCCCAGAGGTTGGGGTCCGTTTTCCAAGCTGGACTGAAGGTCCGATTATTGAAGGATAAACAGTTCAAATCAATGTCCAAATTTGCACCAGGTTTGGAGCATTTCGGAGGTTGGGCAGCATTTTTCCGTTGTGAAACATCCGTATTTGTTTGACAACCAATAGATTTGACAACAAGACAAGTACATTATCCGGTTGACATTTTTCAGGTCACCTCCGAAGTTCTTCTAGAAGACAAAAACATCACCCATCACACACACAAAACATTGAAGACATTGTGAACACAGTTCTTTGGACGAAACCACCCTTGGGCAAAACCATGTTTTTCACGTGCACCCCAAACTCATGGTAAAGAGGACATAACATCCTAGAATGACAATCCTCCAAGGATGACATTCCTGGAAGGATGACAATCCTGGAAGGATGACGTTCAATTCCTTTGACTAGATCATCATCATCATCATCATCATCATCATCCATCCTTCTGATTGTCATCCTTCTAGAGTTTTCCCTGCTCGCGCGCTGCGACAACAGCCTGCCAGGTGGTGGCAATTGCACCTTGACCAAGGCCGGGGAATCCTACGTCACAGACAATGGTGCCAGGGCCTCGAAGACGGGTGGCTGTGGGAGGCACAGCCAAGAAAAAGGAACAGCGCTGGCACAACCTCTGGTCCTTCGTCCTGGTCTTCGGGTCCTTGGGTCTGCACTTTCGAGGCAAGACGCGTTGAAGGTGATTTGGAAATCTGGTCATACATCCTGTGAAGCACTGATCACCAGACGTAGCAGACCTTTTTTGTGAGCCAGCCTGATGGTAAAATTTGAACGAAGAAGGTGCCATTCCAAGGTAGCAAACCTTTTGTCAGCCACTGGAGGGCAAAATTTAGAAGAAGAAGCAGCCATTCCAACGTAGCAAGCCTTTGTTTTGTGAGCAACCGCGCCTGCCACGGAATCTGCACTTCGAGGTTCAAGTGCTGCGCCTGCAATGAAATCTGCAGTTCCAGTGCACAAAGTGCTGCGCCTGCCACGAGCCCTGCAACCGAAGGTGCTCAAAGAGCTGCGCCTGCCACGAAATCTGCAGTTCCAGTGCGCAAACCGCCACTCCTGCCACAAAACCTGCCACTGGAGGAGCTCAAAGTGCTGTGCTTGCCACAAAATCTGCACTTCCAGTGCGCCAAGCGCCGCTCCTGCCCAAATCTGCTACTGAAGGCGCTCAAAGTGCTGCGCCTGCCACGAAATCTGCACATCCAGATTCACATCGCGCAGCGCTGCCAAGGCGGTTCGCAGTGGCAGGCGCAGCTCTTTGTGAAAGGATATTTTGTTTTGATACTAATTAATTTTCTTTTTGATGGGATATAGAAAATATTCTGTTTGATATATATTTATGTTCTTTTTGATAGCCCGGCCAAAACAGAGCATAATCGAATGGCATCGACACCATTTTGATCCATTTGGGATCCACAAGGTATATATATATATATATATACGACTATTATATGACTTATACATTTTAATATGACATAGTGACATACACGTTTATCAAACACGATTGGAACCGTCGGAGGATGTCATCACCACTCAGGTGACGATCATTGGCTACACCGATCTCGCTGGACGCATGGGGATGCAAGCCTCCGCCATGTGCGCCGCGCTGCTCGCTGCGGGACGCACGTGTGGTACTATTGTTGGGCCGAGTTCAGTGGACCGGGGGTTGGTTGAATTCATTCCTATTCCAGGAGTTCAATTGACAAGCTGCTGGCAAACTTTGGGGGACATTTGGGACATTTGTTCTTTCCAAACATCCAAAATCCGGTCGACAGTTCGGTTGAAGACGTTTCGGAAGTCCGTTTCGGAGAAGCAAAGATGACACTGGACGCAGAACGCGGAACGCAGGAGTCGGAATGTGTAATGCACAACTTCCCACAGGATAAATTGCAACAAAACAGCATTAAAAGAGGTCAAACCGAGTAACAGGCCAAGTGAGCACTGATCACACACACGTCAAGCCACTTGCGCCGGACCATGTTTGCTGGACTTCTCAATGGTCTTGTTTGTTCGGACTCCTCTTGTTTAGATGCGACTCTCATGTTGCCAACCCCACACTCGATCAACCAAATGGTGTTCACAGAAGCAAAAACTGTAACCCTTACCCTACCCTACCAAGCCAGGAGTTCATTCGACCACCTGCAGGTCACCCTTTTGGTTTCGAGTCACCCGTTCGGTGTCCGAGGCTTCTGTTCGTTCCGTTCGTTTGGTTGGTTCACCGGCAGCTTCGGTGAGAACAACATGGTGATCGCTTCGGCTTGGGCAGTCTGGTTCACCCCGTGAGGATCCATAAGGGTCTCAAGAGGCTCAGAGAGTCTCAGAGAGTCTCAGAGAGTCTCAAGGCTCAGTTGAGAACTTCCTGAGACCTGTTCTTCGGCTCCAAGAGTCCCAGAGGTCGCTTCCCATCGCCCCACGAGATCGACGAGGGGCCCCGGGTCCAGGGGTCGCCCGCGGGCTTCGTGATCGGGTGACATGGTAGCGGTAAAGAAACACCTCAAGAAGTATATGAGCCCCTGATAGGGATCCACTATCCCATGCTCTGCAACGGTATGTTTAGTATGTATGTTTTGTAACAAGCTGTAACTAATAGTAGGTACTTACATGGTTTGCCTTTTGGACTTTGCATCGCTTGTATGTTGTCAGTAAAAAGAAACGCTCCTTTTTGTTCCTGTAACACGGTCCGTCCTTTTTCGATGAGCGGCCGATGGAGGTATGCCACCAATATGATGCACATGGCCAGGGTGCCCGAGTGAAGACGCATAGCAAGCACCCAATTCGTCAGAAGGAGCGGGTGGAGCAGAGCCCACAACCGTGCTTTTGCTCAATAAAACTGTGACAATCTCACGGTGGATCCCGGGCAGTCGAGGAGGTGCTGTAGGACTTGGTGAACAACAGCAATGTGTTGGATGTTGGGCCTCGAGCAACACCCAGTATCAGTTAAATGAATATGTTTGCTGAGTGTGACATTGATGTGTTTCTCAAGATATTCGCTGTTAAAAGGATGGTTTTCCTCGCTCAATTGAGCTGATCACAAAGAGCTTCCCAATGCTTCTCAGCATCACAGTGAAGCATGTACAGCGACAGGCCAAGCAAGGCAAGCAAAGCTCATCAACCTGCTTTCGCACAATTCAGACCACCACCTTGGAACCATTCGACCCAACGGTTGTGCTAATCCAGCCAACCAGTTATATAATGAACATTCCCTCATCCATCCATCCATTCCATTCCTTTCCATTCCTTTCCATTCCTTTCCATTCCTTTCCATTCCATCCATCCATCCTGCAGTAGCTCAATCCACCGGTATCTTTCGCTAAACACCTGTTGCTCGGATCGATCTTTCCACGCGGTGTGAAACTGAACTTCAACAATTCCAATCGATGCATGGAACATGCTGATGCGCCTGCGTTGGTAGCACATCAATGCCCCCAGGTTTTGGCTTGCATCTACAGTAATTGTGTGTGTGTTTTTGTTGTCTTTTTTATGTGGGTTATTATTCCTTTGTTTGGCCATGTCAGCACGTTGCTGCGTGTTTGACGTGACCATGGACCATTGTGGCCATTGGTTTTATGTTGTTGTTTGTTTCAGTGAGAATCTGTGGAGAACTCTAGTGACTCTAATGACCTGAAGATCAATTCCCAATACTTTGACCATCCACATAGGGGGCGTTATGTGCTCAGTGGCACAACCAAAGCAAAGGATATTGGCTTCCTCGGAGTCTTCTCTTTTGGCTTCCAGCAACTCGTTGATAAGGTGAACCACGTCACGGGCAAGGAAGGTGCAGAGGCCTTCATGCCCAACGTGAACAAAGCCTTGGGCAGCGATGAGGCTGTGAAGGGACGGCGATGTGGTACTGAAATGCACCAGACACACAGGATGATTAGGATGATTTGAAGAGATCTTTGGTTGACACCTCTAGAAAATAGGTTGATGATCGAGATCCGTGGTAGAAACGTCACTGTGGACCAGGGGGTTCCCACCGAATTATATGAGCACCTACGACCCAGATGTTTGGGGTTATGATGCGGGGCCCTAGGAGCCAATGAGCAAACGCAGGGAGCGGTTGGCATTCGAGGGTTGGCCAACGTGAGGTTGAAGCTCAAAATACTGGTGTGGGTCATTTCCCAGGTATTTTGATCATGTAGAAGGGTACTGAAGGGCACTGAAGGGTATTTCCTGTGTCTGCAGGATTTTCAGAAATCTTCAAAGGTGAATAGGTTGGCCGCCTGGCCGGGTTGGCTTCAAGCCCGACGGTCCTGCCAGAGTGTGACCAGACCATGGCCTTTCTTTCAGAAAAGACCTTGTAGGCATCGCCTCATTCCGAAGGTCTCCCTGTTGGAATTCTCAACTTGGAAGTACGAAGTGAGGAAAGCCGAAGTCAGGAACAAACTGTTTACTTCGTTATGATGCTGCTGCGTGACGTGAAGAGGGTCCTTTTTCATTCCAACTCCTTTCGAAACCGGACATGGAACAGCAGACGTTTGTTTGGACAACCCCTAGGGCCCTAGGGAGAGCGGAGTGTTCATCGGGTGGATAGAGGACTTCATCGGGTGGTTGGAATCAGACGACGAGCTGGGCTGGTGCGTTATACAAAGGGTGCAAGCGGAATCGTATGAACCGGCTTCAGGAGGGGGAGAGAGAGAGAGAGAGAGCGCGCAAGGGGGGCGTTCTGATGCCACGCTACTTTTGTCGCTAGAGAGAGAGAGAGAGATGCAACGCTTTGATTGAACCTTGCAGTTCCTTGAAGTGAATCGAACAAGAGGCCCTGCACACAGAATTGGTCAATGTGAACTGCGACCGGACCACCCCTTACAGCCACGCGTGACTGTAAAGAAGCATTGAGTATGACTCAGATTGACTGACGTCGGACTGAGTTCATTTTGCCAAGCACTCCGCACTCCATGTACATCGTTTTCTGGGGTGGTGGAAAAAGGTCGATGTAACATGATGTAACCCTACAGGTCCAGTCTGACCCAGTAAAACCTGGTCCTTGACCTCATTGAGCAGTTTAATGTTTTTTATATCCCAGACACCCCATGGGACTGCCATAGATGCTTCCATTGGGTGGTTGACTGGGGGTCAATGGGGCGGCAGTCCGGACTGGCAGTCCCACTTCCGTCGTGTCTGGGTATGCCCAGTCCACCAATGAGGTCCCAAATGAAATGGTGTCCTGTTCATCGTCCGATTCCAGGGCGACATCGTGGTGAAGTCCATGGTGTGCTGCAAGGCGATCGTCGCTGGTGCACCCTGCGGGTCGCTCGCTGGGGGACGCCTGCGGTGTGTCGCGGTGTGTCGCACAGAGTCAGTCTACATCGCTTTCTGCACAGTGTACATGAAAAACTGAGGTCAAGAACCATGTCATAGCTCTAAGAAAACCATAGAAGACCTTAAATTTGGGGAGGTTTATGGTCAAGCCATTTTGAGAGACTGACGCAGACAATCCTCACTCCTTCTGGTTTTCGGAGGTTCCAGCTGTTTTGACCGTGGGAGTTTAGTGAAGTTTAGAGGAACAGTTTCCTTCCTAGAGGAAGATCCTCTTCTCCAAAGGGGCCATATTCCGCTCCAATGATTCTTGAGGAGGGTGGAGGGTACTTTCATTCGTTTCATTGGTGGACTCCTCGACTTTTTGGAAAGGACTTCAAGGCAAGAAACCCAATCTGATCCCCACCACTCTTGGTGAAAGGGGTTTGTGTATGTTTAATGTTTGATTCATGGCCCTTTGGGAGGCACCAGGAGCCCGACTTGCTTGACCTGATGTCGGTCTAGTTCACTCTCTACTGGGTAATATGGCTGGGCCAGGGCTCCAGTTTGCATGGCCAGTGAGCTTAAGGCAAGTGATATGTCCGTCATTCAGGGCGGCCAGACTACGAAGTGGCCAAGCAGCTTCATATTTGCCCGACACTATGTTCTGGATCCCAAGCAAAAGCAACCCAGACGCACTTGCAAAATTGCTGGGATAACAGTCATTTTCCAAGCTTTGCAACTTCTGTCGCGGGTCAAGAGTCAAAGGATAGAAGGGAAAACATGTCTCAGCTGCCTCAGCTTGATATATTTTGTCACGTTTGATTTGCTTTGGCATTGGAAGGTCAAAGATTGGTTTATGAACCTGGAAAGATACCCGACCCGTTATTTTGTGAATGCAGTGGTGAAGTTAGAGACAAACCCAAGCGTCATGAGGAAAAGTGGCCTTATATAATTGCTGCCTAGCAACCCCTGGCGTACCAGCTGCCTTGCTTCCCCTTTTTTGGCTTCCGCCGGAGGATGGAGAGGCCATCGTCGCGCCTCCGCCCCCGGAACCCACGCCAGTGAAGAAGAAGGAGTGATGTGTTTTTGTTCCCTTTTTGAGGTGAAAGTGATTGGTCAGGACACGAGGGTGTACGTGTGGCCTGCAGTCGGTGTTTTCGATTCAATTGGAACTGGTTTCGATCAGCGTGTTGTAGAAGCTTTATGAGATGGAGACTTGGTTGTATTCAAGAGTGGTGAGAACTGAACCATTGGTTTTGGTGAGACTTCCTTCGCGGGTTCGCCATATTCCGACGGGTTCAGAACGCTAAGGACGAGAGTTGGGGGTTTGGTTTGATCCAAGTTTCACGGAATTTGAAGTGGAGAAGCTGCAAATCCAGCACCTAAAAAGACGGTGCTGACATGTGACTTGATCACCGTGGCCCTGTTGGGGCTTTCGAAATGGCTTTTAGTCCGACGATGTGATTCAGTCACCACCTGAAGACCGGCCACTGCCGGTGTTGCATGTGTTTGTTCGACTTCTGCCCAGAACGACCTGATGAAGTGGGCGCCATGGCTGCTTCCATGGCTGCTTCCATGGCTTCCTCGCTTCCTTCAACTGAGTGAAACAAGCACCACATCACCGAGTTGAACTGATCCGGACACGTTCCGACGTGACCTCGTGACGCGCTGCCTCCTCCCGACGTCAGGAGCCCAAGGCCGAAAAAGCCGCCGCTGTGATCGACCCCGCACAGGAGGTGCGAAGCAAACCGGGCGCAGCAGGGCAGAGGTGTGCAGTGGTGTTTTGTGTCGATGAAAAACGAGGTCACAGAGCTCGGAAGATGACAGTCTATATCTAAACCATTTGATGGATGAAGCACTAAAACCATATAAGACATTACAAGACATTGAATCAGGGATTGTTTTCAAAATCGGTGCTTGTTAACGCGTGTTATTTGTTTGGGGGGAGAGTTTGTTGGCTGTCTCTTCTGGAAGGCCTTTGATCTCAGATGCAGTCCTCTACGATGTCAGCTCATGCCTCCAAAGAAGTGTCTCCTTTCGATCACATCGACCCCAAAGCATCAAAAAAGGGGTCGATAACATGCCGTTTTTGGTTGAAGCCTGCCTTTACTAACTACAAGAAAGCAATGCCTCCCTTCCAAGCTGGAGTCTAAAGTCTAAAGTTGTCTAAAACTGGGGGAATGGGTCCCCCCGAATCTACGTGATGGCGCAAAATTGAACAAACAGTTTTGACAGCCGCGCACATGAGGACTAACATAAGTTTTGAGTGAATCACAGTGGAATTTAAATTTGTACTGTGGGCCTTGATTAATTGTTGACATGTTTAGCATTCTGGCAAGGGATGTTGCCTCTATAGTATCAGAAGATCAAGCCAATAAAGTCTCCAGCAGAACCTTGGTAGGGGTCAGGACAGATAGGACAAGGCAAGAAGTGGAGTATCCTCGACTAAGATTGAGATTACACTTGGAGGCCATCGCTAATAGGTTGGAGACCATCACTAGTAGGTTGGAGGCCATCACTAGTAGGTTGGAGGCCATCGCTACTAGGTTGGAGGCCGTTGCTGGTACTCGTAGGTTGGAAGCCATCGTTATTAGATAGGAAACGCGTGGGATTTGTTCGTAAGGTTTTAGGGTCTTTGTTTCCAGGCCAGGCAGACCAGCGCAGCAGTGGCAGGCCGGTGTGTGCCGGGGTGATTGGTTCAGGATGCGTGTAGAGTGTACTTGTTTGTTGGATAGAGATGCTGAGGACCTATACCCTTGGGGGTGCTCCACTTGCCTCCATTCCCTACAAGCAGATTAGTACCACCCCTTTGCCCTCTCTACCGATTTGCAGTCCTTCGACAGGCACTGCAATATCGGTGACCCAATCGGCTGTCAGGCACCTCCGCCCTGGCCATTGGTGCCAGCTTGGGTGGTGATCCAGGCCCTGGCGGTTGGGCCATGGGTTTCAGTGGGAAAGCTTTGGTGGGGATTCATTGTTGCTTGAAAAAGAACACCAACTCAAACCTGCAGGTCGTTGTTTCTGTTCTTTGCTTGGGCTCACCAGCATGAGTTGCAGCTTGGAGGAGCTCTATCCTGTTACGACGTATTGAGCAAAAACAAAGGGAGCTCCTGGAGCATCACCAGGCACAAGCCACTGACGACTGCGTGGTTAAGCAAAGAGCTCGGCTTTCGTGGCTTAAGTTGGCTAGCCCCTCTGGTTCTGAATGACGTCGCGATCCTGTGCGGCGAGCCTTTTGTTGCCTTTGACCAGGACTGCTCAGCTTCTGGTGGTGGCGTCGCTTTTCACGGAGAGCAGCTGAACTTGGGTGAAAGAGCTGGTGGCTGTGCTGAAAGCTCTTCCTGCTAGCTGCTAACTCTAGTGCTCCAGAGCCAATGCAACAGCCACAGCCAAAGCACAATGTTGTGGCCCGGCCCAACCCACAGGTCATTGTCCAGCGGCCTGAACAGTAGTGAGGCTGAAGAAGCTGCTTCTGCTGTCACAGTTCACAGCACTCAGCGTATTTTTGGCTGTGCCTTTCTTGCTTGGCTTCTGCATATCTTCTGACATTCTTTCTGGCATTCTATCTGGCATATCTTCTGATTCACGGTTGAGGTCTGGCGGGGAACACTGCCAGCCGACACTCGCGGTTGAGGAGGCGGCGGAGAAGGAGGACGAGGAGGAGGAGGAGGCGGAGGAGCAAGGCAGCTGACAATATAGGATCTAACAACCCTCACCTGACAGGTGGGGAACAAACGTTGTTCGAAATCGAGTCCTCAATCCCTTGCTCTACCAGCCTCCTGGACGTGATCTTCGACACGAACGGCGACCGATTAGACCGATCACGCTGCGACGACCTGCAAACATCTTTGTCCAAGGTGTTGTTTGGCTTCTATTCTGTCGGCTTCTGCCAGTCGTATCTTAGAATACCTGCATGACAAGATTCGACAAGCATGCATATCTCTTAACCCGGCAAAGACATAACACGCACGCTCAGGATCAATATTGGCAAGAATGAGCTTTCAAAGGCAGACCGACCTTACTTCATAATATGTTGACTTGCAGCTCAGGATGGCAATCTCTGAAGCTGCCACAGAGATGGATGTCGACGATGACGGGAATGAAGAACCAGACCCCAATGAGCCCGATTGGGATGAATGAAAAGAACAGCATCTGCTGCTCCTGTTATTTTGAAGCGTTCAGAAGACATCGCATGTCCTGCTGCATGTCGTTCCAAAATTATCCGATATAGGGCCATCTGGGCCAATTGAACCAAACGACTCCACGCTGCTCGGAAACTGGCACGCTGCCCGAACGCACCTTCGGATCTGCCGTTCTGCGATTTGGCTGCGCGTTTCCCGGCGGCGCCAGCAATGCGGTCAATAGTCTTTGAGCTATAATCACCTATGCATTGGATTTTTTTAAAAGCCTTGATCGGATTCCAACCATGATATTTCAGCAAGCAACAGAATGAAATAATGGTGGCGAAACATCCTTCCATCATTTTAACATTGGGTGAACACAGAGTTCCGTTTTAATTGATAATTCAAGCATGTTTGAATTGACACCTGTTTATCACAATGTTAGAAAATTTGTTTATTAAAACATATCAGAAAATATCAAAAAATGTTAGAACATATGCTGGAAAAAATGTCAGATAAACAAATGTCAGAAGATATGCTGATATGCCAGAAAGGATACCAAAATAGTGTTTGAAATGTGTCAGATTGAAATGTCTTGGTGGGGATCACTCGAAGTAAAGTAAATTTTCCCCACTTCCCCACCGCTCAAGCCACGCTATCACGACGTCCGCAGTCACCAGGTTTCATCGCTTTGTTAAACACCTTCGGCTTGGCGGGTGCTGCGGGATACCAGGCAGGTCCGCGAGAACGCGTCGGTGTGGGGGTCCAAACGGGCAATATGTTCCAGGACCCCCAGTCGGGGTGATGGGGCTAAATATAAGTACACACCCCTTGGAGGGTCCTGGTTGGTTCTTGTTCATGTTGACTCGTCCCACAAATGTGTCCAAATGGACAGCCAGTGTAGAGTATCATCTGAAGCTGTGGCGGGATCAGTCGCAAATCGCCACTAGGTCTATTTCCCGTCACCGAACCTCAGCGGCTCGTCGTTTCCGCCGGGTCGGTTTCCAATGTCTTAAGCGTCTCACCCATGTCTTGGACGTGGTCTGACACTCCGCGGCTCGTCGTCTCCGCCAAGTGTTTTTGGGCCATTGGAGCGATGACCCAACGCCAGGAACCAAGGACGGCCGAGCCAAGGTTCGCCTCTGGAGATGTAGAGATTCATGTGACATAAGAGTAGTTTTGGCCACTATTCATTGAAAGCAGCAGCAACAACAACAACAACACCATTCTAGGTAGAAAGGTCGTTGATTCATAATAATCTGTAGATTGCTAATCTCTTGATATCTCTTGATGAATTCCCGTTGCCTACCCCCCTATATGCGGGGACTCAACGATGGACTGAACCCGATGATCCGATGTTTTTGTTATCATGGAAACCACAAACCAGCTTGAGGATGGGACAACTTAAAGAGTTTCTACTGCAAATGACACCAGATGGTGCAGGATTTGGTCGATGAACAGTATAGGGACATTAGGGACAGATTTTGACCCATTTGTGGTCTCACTGTGTCTCACTGTGTGCACGAGAGGGGACTTAGACTCAGAGTGGCTCTCCTGCGGCGCAAGGCCAAGATTTGGATCCCGAATTCAATGACGCGGCATACATAGTTTTGGACATCTATGCTGCTCTTGTTACACCGTGTTTGCGTGCATGTCTCCAAAACAAGAGCCCCCTCATTCAAAGTTATAGTATTCCACGAAGTCCAGATGGGTCAAGATGGGTCCCCCCCGGGTTGTTGTCAAGCACTCCCCTACGCCCAACCACATGGCACAAAGTCCCACATTCCCATGCCCTTTTTGGGTGATTCCACCTTTCTTCGCCCTCTTGCAGGGAGATATGCCCGGTGACCAACCAAGCAGGTCACTCGTAGCACACTGAGCCGGCAACTGGTATACTCACTGAGCCGGCCTCGTCCAGGCAGTGTGGGGCGTGACCCACGCGCTGCACACCCCACTGATGGCGGTCACCAACGCCATCAGTGGTCTCACTGCAGCGGGCGGCCGGGCGCCTCAGACTCGGTTTTTCGAGCCGATGCGCGGCGTGCCATCGTGGGTGGTTCTGGCGCGTTTGGGGGGGCGCTGGCCTCTTTGAACAGAATGGCAAATGCAAGGACAGCATGGCCTTCATCCTCAAGTCGAAGGACAAGCCGAGCCCCAAAGTCGCGGCCAAAGATGCAGCGGGTATCTACAGCGGTACCCAGTTGACCTCGAGACTTCTCCCAAGACGGATCGTCCCGGCACATGCATCAGCACTGCTCAAATGGAAAGGATTTCAGAAGCTGATGAGGGCTTTCAAGGAACTCTGATGGCGGCTGGTGGATACAAAAATCCTGAGCAGGCTGAGAGTTGCCTCACCCTCAAGTTGGACCTGTTCAACATGGTCAGCAGGACGACTCCAGTCCAGCTCGGAGTTCTGAGGAAATTGTGGAAGTCATCAATCATGACGCCCTCAACGAACTTGGCAGAGCATCGGCAATCCCAGACACATATGCCTACATTGGGGTGGTTGACTGGGAGTCAATGGGGCGGCATATATGGCAGTCCCACGGAGTGTCTGGGAATGACATCAGATCCATCAAATCCGACTCCTTCCTCGACCGCAGCCTTGACGGCAGGTGTTTGGGCCACAGCCTTGAGAGCCTTTCAGCGCACATGTCGCGTCGGCATCCATGTTGTTTCTGGCTTCAAGCTGTGTGTGCATTTCCAGGTTTCATAAACTGTTTTCCTGGTTGATGATTTTGAGCACTGCACCAACCATCCATTTGTGCATGGTAGAAAACTTAGCACGTTCTTTTCTGGCTACCTATTTTGCAAGGTGCGTGTGGTAAGCTCGAATGCCAAAACAGGTTCTTTTGGCCGCAAGGTCGACTGTTGGGTCCCCAAAATGCAATCGTCTCATGAGAGATTGGCGTTTAGGGTAGTTTAGAGATGTTTAGAGCATATATATACCAACTCTGCCTCACGGGACCCGCAAGAAGGATCATCGAGACGGTGGTATATCATTGCTCCCCGCAACAAACAGAAGCAAAAGCCGAGTTTCCAGGGCATCGGACCACTTCCAGGTTTGATGCTCATGGGCACGGGTGGAGGAGCTATGGCCCAAGGACTTGCTCAGGCGGGGAACCCAAGCAGTTTGCTTGCTTCGTGGCATAGCGGGGCTCCAAAAACCATCCTTTGAAGGCCCTCTGGGGGGACGCCATGTGCTTGATCTAGCGTGGGAGCAGAGCAGCAGGTTAACAAACACAGTAGTAGCAGGTGGTGGTCCAAATGGCCTTGGACAGATTCTGCAAAGCTTCACAGCCTTGGAACCTTGAACAGATCTGTTCTTTTTTTTTCCGGGCACTGGGTGATTCTTGCAAGACTGCTTTAGAAAGGAATCCCTTTTCCATCCTTTTCCACCTGTTGTGGGGTCACTATATGTTTTTTGCCAGTTTCGGTTCATGAAACGCTTTGTTGCCAACAAACCAGATTTGCACTCCTTGACTAGCTTGCCAACAAACCATCTCAGCTTCATCTTATGGTGGTCGGTGTTCTCGCCACAGAACCCATCCCAACGGCAACAATGCTCGGCATTTGAGTATCATCTCATCCCACTTCTGTCACAAATGTTCATTGACTCGACCTCCATACTCCTTTCGCCAATTTGCAGACCTGCGACCTGTTGCAGTTCAACTTCTTTCCCTTTTGATCAAACCTCCATTTCGGCTCCCGGAGTTCGGTTCCAAAGACGCACGTTTTAACACGCTCAGAATGGTTTAAAGCCTTCATCAGAATGCAGATGTTGTCCATTGGTGCCGTTGGTTTTTTGGTGCCGTTGGCGGGTTGGGTTTGGAATGGGTGATACCGTGATACCTTTGGAGAAGACAGAGAAGAAGCCCCCGAACATCACCATCCGCTGAAAGGACAGTTGGAGGCCAGCAGGATCCTTTCCGGGAAAAAACAGCGGATCATTCGTGCAGAGTAGACGTATAATAGCGAGCATCCTATCCCCTCCGTGGCGGGAGACCACATGAACATGGATGGCATGGCTGAGGGAAGACTACTTGTCTCCCAAAGCTACTGGCGCCAGGCGTCCGTGGCCATCAGCGCGGTGAACATCGCTGGCGGCTTTTTGGCGCCTCGGAGCGTGGGACGCGGACCGTGGGACGCGGAGAAACCGCTCGGACGCGCGTTCCATCCATTCCGGCGGTATAGGAGCTGTTCGGAGCTTCGGAGCCTCGGAGGGTTTCTGTGCTCGGAGTTTTCAGCTGAAGTGATTGGAATGCGGAAGGCCATGAAAGCGCCAGCACACCGGAAAGGACTATATAGATTGAGAAGTCATGAATCTGAATGAGGTCCTCTATATGTTCCTGTTGTTTTGTGTTCTTTTACTTTTCTTGTGACTTCAATCGCTGACAGGCCCAACAGTGTCAGTGACTGAACGCTCTGGGCGGAGTGGACAAACTCGAATTCCGCCGAACATGCCGAAGATGCCCAGAAAAGAAAACGCACATGCATATTATATGGCACAAACAGAAAGAGATCAAAGCAACTAAGTCAGTGGAATGATGTATGGAAAGAAACCTACACTCCTTGAAAGAATCATGGAAGGGGAAAACCACCTGTTTGTAGAAAAACAAATATGACTGACAATTGACTACAAATCAAAACTCCGTGGGCAAAGAATCAATTCAGAATTTATCTCGGACTTTGGGTGTTTCACTACACACGACTCTTGCCTTGAGGTGACCAAGCGGATGCTTGACCTATTCCGGAAGCCAGGGCAGGCGACAAATGCTGGTTCTGAAGGGATGGCTCAAGATGGCTTGGGAGGGCTCAGGATCAGCCGGAGAACGACGTCAACTTTGTTTCAGAATTGTGTGGCGGTGGTTCGGTAGAGGATTTGCAGAAGAGTCGGTCGATGCGTCATCAGTCTGGGAGAATTGGTATTGGCAGGTCCGCATGCTGGGACGTTTGTAGCCTAGCTCTTTTGTATTGCTTGGACCTCGTGCAATTTCTTCAGATCCGGCATTTCTTGGTTGGAAGCCGTGGTCCCTGACGGGGTCCCCTGCCTTAGCAAAGCTTGAAATATGCGATGGTTATCCCACGTTGTTGAACTAGCAAAAATTCTCAGCCAGAAGCTCAAAGGAACTGTCCCTCAGTCTTGCTTGGTCTAAAGTGGGCAGGCAAACCTTGCCACCATCTACCAGCCACTTACATAGCCCAGTAGATCCCAGAATAGTACCATCTAAGGAACAGGATTTTGGTTGGTCAGTTTTAGTCTTTGAAACCACAGTGGTCACTGGATCCACTCGAAACACCGCGATGTGTCCGTTGCCTTTGTTGACTTTAGCGTTCGCGTTGCCAGCGGCTCAGCTTTCGCGCTGCGCAGGAGGATTTCACCAGCATCTATCTTCTGCCCGCTGCGGGTCTTGCGGTGCGGACACATGGTGCGGTGGGGTCGAAGCGTCCGTCTGGCGCGTTTAGAGAGTTCCGGCGTGTTTACGGGCAGGAACCTGTTTTGGGCATATGAATCAGTAGCATCTCCTCAACCCACTTGAAAGATGAACATGCCTATGACCAGTTATTAAACTACGGCCAGTCCCTGCCTAGCACAGCTAAGATGTAAGATGTCGGGATTGGAAAGTAGGTGTAAAAGAATAGAATCATCGCTTTGTGCTGATAGAGGATAGACTCCACTACATGTAGGTTTCCTTGAGGTGCTCAATTGTCCTGGCGGGCAGCACATAGTACATTTGAAGAACCTTTCAGTTTTACTCATGCCGTGCCACTTCGAGTTTACCCACGTTGAGCTTGCACAGTGAGTTTGCCATGTTTCAGACATTATGTGATTGAGCCGACCACATTCCTTCCATCATCCTGGTGCAATGTGTGGTGTGAACCATTTTCAGCTGTTGTTCTTGCTCCAAGCGCATTGCAGCAAGTATAGCAAGTCAACATATGCAATGGAAAGAGTTTGCCACCATGAACACCTTGGCCAGCACCGAGCCGATGTTGTTGAGTTAATTAGGACATGTTTTTTTCCTGAAATGATCTCAAAACAATGTTTCAATGCTTAAGAGAAGCTCTGAACGATTTCTAGTTGATGTTCCCTACGTTCCTGTTTCAGCCAGCAAATCAGATGCAGCGGATGCACCTGAAGCAGTCAGCCCCACAGATTTCGGTCGAACTTCACCTCTGAGTATCTCAGGCTCAGACCATGGAGCCAGGGCTGAAAGAGATACTTATACCATGAATGGGTCATGGTCATGGGGGTTATGTATGGAAGTATTCAATATATGGATGGTTTGGGATTGAATTTCAAGGTGCAGACAACCAGATTGATACTGATAATCTTATCCTTAAATCCGGTGGCGGCTTGAACCCCTGCGTTGGTGTTACTCAGCCGTGGCTGAGCCGCCATGGAGACTGATGATAGCTTGGTGGAGTACTTCGAGAACCTGTAGCCTTGGTCGAGATGGTGTTGATGTGATCAGCTTGCAAGACATTAAATGTTCTGAGCAAACATTCCGGATAGCATCAATATTGAGAAGTGAGGGATATCAGCCCCTTCACTGGAGTGACAAAGTAGCAGACCTACCATCCTCAATTTAGGTAGAAACCCATAGGCAAAGCGGTTCTGAGTTCCAGTTCTTTTCCTGAATGAAGAACTTCCAGGTACAGACAAGGCGGAACAGAAGGCACAATCTGTCAGAGCCCTGACCCTGAACGCTTGAAATCACTGGCATTTCTCAACACCATGGCTGCTTGCCTGCAAAACATGGGCCGCCACCGCGAGGCGGAGCCCTTGCACCGGCGAATCCTACAAGTCCGTCATGGCACGCTTGGAGAGGAACACCCAGGCACCGTGGCATCCATGAACAACTTGGCCGTTTGTTTGCGCTGCACAGGCCGCCATCGAGAAGCAGAGCCTTTATATCGGAAGACTTTAGAGATACGAGAACGGATCCTTGGAGCTGAACATCCAGACACTCTGACGTCAATGAACAACTTGGCCATGTACCTGAGAAGTATGGGCCGCCTAAGTGACGCGGAGATCTTATACCGGAAGACTTGGGGCATCTGAGAGGGCACACTTGGAGCTGAACATCCGTGCACTTTGGCATCGATGAACAACTTGGCCATTTGTTTGCGTCACATGGGCCGACACCAAGAAGCAGAGCCTTTGTACCGAAAGACTATAGAGGTTCGAGAGCGCATCCTCGGGGCTGAACATCCAGACACATTGACCTCAATGAACAACTTATCGATTTATTTGACCAGCATGGGCCGACACCAAGAAGCGGAGTCTTTGGATTCTCGAACTTTCGAAGCTCGGGAGCGCATCCTTGGGGCTGAACATCCAGACACGTTAAGTTCCATGAACAACTTGGCCGTTTCGCTCGAAAGCACCGGACGTCACCAAGAGGCTGAAGACCTCTACCGGAAAGCCCTGCAAGCACAAGAACGAAGCCTTGGAGTGGAACACCCCGACACGCTGCTGTCGAACTGGAACTTGGCGATTCTGCTGCTTCGCACCCGTCGCTGCTGCGAAGCCTGGCCCCTGCTGGGCAGAGCCTGGCCTCGCCTCGGCGCAACCACCCAAGCAGTGCGACGGGTGGCGAACTGGTGCTGTTGGTGTCGAAGAAGACGTAGAAACGGCCTCAGAGGGTGTGGTTCTGTCAGGTGGTTGAGTGTTGCGGGGACAGTGGTCGCTGCAGTTTTTGTGGGGATGTTTGTCAAGGGCGGGCATTATTTGTTTTGTGTGTGTTGCGTTTAGGCTTTTCTTGTTGGATCTGCTTCTTGTTGCCTTTGAAGTTTAGGGACATCAATATGGTTTTGCCACCGCAAGCTCAGGAACACCGGTGCATCTCGAGGAACCTGACCCTGACCCTGACCTTGAGCTGGGGCCGCTTCTGGTCGCGGATCGGCACAAAGAGGAGTGAAGAGCAACGGTCCGGGCTTTTTCAGCGATTTTGTCCAAGCTGCATGGTGCCAGCCGCGCCGCGCAGCGTTCTGCCTATCCGTGGCGCGCGCCTGCGTGGCTCGCGTACGCGCGGGCCCGGACCTTGAAGTGACTCATTCAGGGCACGCCGGAGAACTGCTGGTGCAAAACTCCGTTGAGATCAGCAACGCAGCAGCGCAGCCTACGCAGGACCGGAAGAAGAGATCAAAGATACCGTGCTGCTGCAGCGATGCAAAAGCTATCACGAAGTCGAGCATGTTTTGTGGCTCCGCGGGGATGGGAGGAGTCATGAAGGATGGGTTAAGCCGAGACAACCAGCCAGTTGTGGTTACGATATAGGTAAGCAGTGTTCTTGGAGGGTAGCAGGTTGGTCTCAAGATGAGAGAACAACCAAACTTCATGTACTGGTGCCAATCGCTGTTGATTGAACCTGTAAGCAGAACTCGCCAAAAAATAGACATATAGTTTTTTGGGGAGAAGGATGGAACAGACCATTTTCGAAATTTGGTAGGGAGGTGCAGAAGTCTCAAGTCTTGTTTTTGGGAGTTCTGCACCCCTTTCGAGTTTTTGGAGACGCATCCACACAACCTCTTGGTCGCAATGTAATTATTTCATTTTTAGTCCATGTTCCTTGGTAATTATTGACATGTTCCTTGGTATTGATAGGAAAGCAACCATGCTTGGGGTGGTTGGTGGTCCAAAATAGAGGTCACTCAGGCTCTAGACTCTAGGTATTTCTATACATCTCCTATGCATCCAGCTGAGGTGGTGCCCTTCGTGCTGCCAGCGGGAGCGCCCACTGTGGGGACCCTCTCAGGCCGAAGAAATGGGCAAGTGGGCGGATCAAGACCTTTCAAAGAGACTTGATATATGTAAATATAGTATATAGTCCGGCATATTAATGTATATATTAATACCCGTATTTAATAGTATTTATATCGTACACTTTAGTACATTTTGGCTGTGACACATGAGATAGTATAGTATACTACAGTGTGTTGGGAATTATTAAGATAGCGGGCACAAGATGGCACACGTCCTGCCTTTGGCATTTGTGCACTTGGAGTTTTTTTGTGGGTGGCAATGGTGGCTATGATAAGTATATAGCACTGTGAGAAGGTCCCCTTTTTCGACACCAGGACTATACACTTGTGTGCATGCCGTGTGTTTTGCAAAATGGTTTTGGCACCAAAAGGTAATTTTTTGCTGGACATCCAACACATGCAGACTTAGGAGGATTGTGCCCAAACAAACAAGTTGTGGGAGCATGTTTTTCTTTGCACAAGTCATGAACGAAGAACAAAGTCCCACACAAACTTCCAAGCTTCCGAAGCTCAGGTAAATTCATGGCTTCCCAAGCTGTGGCCTTCATGTTGGAGTATAAGCTATAGTCTATAGTGCATTACAAGTCCTCCCCAAACCCTCGTGTAGCTTGTATATGCTTGTGTGGAAACATAGTTTTTATAAAGAGAGTGACGACAGTAGTGCGCTTTGCAAGAACCAGAGGTGTTTCCCACGAGAATGTTGTACTAGTGTCCCCGTGCAGGTGGGCATGGCTCGAACGAGCTCGAAGTAATGTGATCAATTTCATATATGTGTTTGTTTGTTTTTGAAGAAGGGCTTACAAGGTGTTGTTTTTCAATCTCATCCAAATCCGCAATAGCTCCCAGATTTTTTTGTGTACTTTATGTCAAAATTGATTGATCCTTTCCATGTTGGATAATTTGAAGTCATATTCCCTACATTCAGGAGCAATGGTGGAAGACCAACAAACTTTCACAGCTACGATCGAAGCAGTACACCAGCCATCATAGCCACCTGCTCCACTTGGCGAGGCCTCATGTGCATTGGAGCCATTGGTGGCCTCTCGCCAGCGGCCCCAGGGGCGGCGAGACCAGTCGCCAGCTTCGAAGTGAACGACATCCGCAGCTTCCCAGTAGAATCGTCCACTCTGGGTTGTGCGGATAAGGTGGATGTGTTATTTTCTCCGGATTGTTCCATCCCCTGCCGAGGGGGGCCCTAGGCCGGAGCGTCAAATCGTTACTGCAACCCGTCTCAAGAGATGGGTGCGAGCCTGTGGCTTCGTTTGGACCATGTACTCAGGAAATAGTTTGCATGCTGGGATAGACCGAGATACTGAGGGAGAAAAATGCTAGATCCGCGGATGATGTGGTGAAATGATGGTTACTGTAAATGGATTTTGCGTTGGTCATCGTTGGTCTATCACCATGCAAGTGCCCTTGCGTGATGTTGATAATGCATGGTGAAGATGTTCATGATTTGGCGGGTCGCCCTCTTGGTGACAGCCGTAAAACCAAAGCTCACATTTGCTTGCAACAAGTCTATATATATATATATATATGTTCCTGTTTTCACATCCTTCCATTCATGTTATTCCAAGAAGCACGAGGATTGCTTGGTGGATGGCTGACACCATCGGACATGGCACAGTCGCTGTCATCGGCAAGGTCCCAGAAGACAGCGCAGTTCGGCTTGGCCCTGGGCGTGACTGGCGTGACAGGCAGACCGAAACCGCTGGAGTTCTTCATCATGTGACATAAACCCAGTGATTCTCTTTGATTTCTCCATGTTGGGGTTCTTCAATCTGGTCTTCAATTGGCAGTTTAGTGATGACATGTTTCATGCTGATATGATCAATCTTTCCCAAGACAGTTTTCCAAGAAACTCGACAAATCTAGACAACATGCGGTCCACTTTTCAGAATACTGCAAACCGGAAGGGGACTTCGTGAGACGAAATTGGTTGCCCCAACTTTAGTATACCTTTACCGCATTTAGATTTGCACCATACATCCAACCAACGTGGTGCCCAAGTCACTTGCTCGGGCGGACGGTCTATGGCGTGGGTCATCGGTAAGAACCACACATCGGTCAGGTGGTCTCAGACAGACTTCGCGGGGTACGGTGGGCTGAGACCGCTTGTCACTTGACTTCTTTTGGAAGTCAACGGTGGAATGAACATAATACCTCTCCCCTACACTCCAAGAACCATCTCCTCAGGTTCGCTGGGCATCTGTGCCCCCCAAACCACCCACCCCTGGCACCCACCCCTGTCCCATCGAAACGGAGGGGGGTAGGCCAGGAACCCAGGAACCCAGTGGCCGGGTGTGCCAAAACCGATGAAAAAGGATCCTCTTCACGTTGGACCTCGGTGACCCGCCGATGATTGGGGATTCCTTTCGCCCCTCCCAAGACGCACCGCCAGTTTTCGGCACAAAGGACACCCAGCCGGACCAAAATGGATTGAGAACTGTCGACCAAAGGGACGCTGTTCCACATCAGCTGGCCAGCGCGGCTTTGTTTTCCTCCCCGAAAGAACCTCCTAAAACTGTTTGGGACGGACCGGGACCACTTAAGTTCCTCCGCACCTTGGCCGCAACAGGTGCGATGTCCATGACCTTGGCCGCCTTACCGGCTGGGCAGGCGGCATCCGGCGGTCAAGAGGGGCGGAGGGAGTTGGTGTGTGGCTTTCCTCTCCACATCCGTTGGTTCGATGCTCTAAGTGCGACCACATTCCACGGAACCCGCGGAGGGCGTGGGGGGTTTGGGGGCTGTTTGTTCTTTTTGGGTCTCTCAAGGTTGATTAGGAGCTTGAGAAAGGAGGCCAAGCCACCTTTGGTTGGTATCATTTGTTGCACCTCTGGGTTTACATTGGCCGTAGCCACTCGGACTTTCCAAGCATGGTCCATTTGAGGATGGTCAGGTGTTTAGCACCTTGCTCCCCTTGAGAGGAAGTCTAAAGAACCCAGGATCCAGTCTTTGCAGGAGGAACTCGTGCTGATGAAACATCCTGCGCCAGCTCACACACACCTCAAGTGCAGCAAATGGAGTAATATCCGTAGCCCAAGGAACGCTTTGAGGATCTTGCACATCTCAACACCAGTGTCAGACGGTCTCATGCAGTGTCAGAGAGTCTCATGCAGCTGAATAATTTCGTCCGAAGTTCATTTTCCTGAATTTACATGAAAGTCATACCCGGACTAGGAAAGAAATGACCAGGAAACAGCGATACATGACAGTCACCACAATCATTGGATCATCAACCTTTTGTCCACAACTAAAAGTCACCTCCATCCACACCACAATGCACTTCAATGCACCACTACTATATAAAAGAGCACTTTCAACATCTGTCCACTTTGTACCAACCACCTACCAACTACGAAGAACCACCTACCAAAACCACCTACCAAAGCCTCAAACCACCTACACTCAATCAACCTCCCACTCCTCGCCACGGGCCACGCCGCCGCGTCCCAGTTAGCGCCGGCCTTGGGCCTCGTCGCAGCCGGCGGTGCCGCTGGTTTCGGCCTGGGCAAGGCCGGCATCCCGGGTGGAAGCGACGGGTGTACGGAACGGAACCGGCAGGAAAGCCCATGGGTTTTGGCGGGGTGGAAAACACCATCCGGGGAGAGACGTTTTCCCTTAAGACCAATTCATTCGATGTATGGAATATTGATGGAAGATTTCCCTACATGGATCCCTTATCAACCAGCCCAAGATGCTGGGTTGATCAGACACCCGTGAACGCGGAAGCTGCGGATAATGCCGTGGCTATGTGAGTGACCGACTTTTCCTGGGACCTCCGGGCTTGCAGGCATGAGTTTGGAGTCCCTGTGGAAAAGCCTGGGTTGATTCGGGGCACGCAGCCCAAACCCTGTTCTTGCCCACCAAAAAGTATATGTTCCTTTTTGTTTATGGCAACGTCAATGTGGGCAATGCTTGCTGTTTAAACTTCCATTCCCATCCAAATCCTCGGGAAGGATTCACCGTGATCCAACATGACAACATAATTACAGAATCATACAAATCCAAACATAAACAAGACCAAGAACATCTTCCAGCACAATATGTATAATCTGTTCCTACCCAGCCAGCTAATACCCAGCCTTTTAACCTTCTTTGGGGGAAGAAAGGACTCCTCCCCACGAAATATGAAGAGATGGGACACGAACTCGGGTGTACCTCATCTTGGGTCCTCCCAACAGGCGTCATCGGCTGTTGGTTCGTCGCCGTCGTCCCATCGAGCTCGTGGATGTGTTCTCCTTCACTAACCTCCTTAACCTCCATGGCTGCACGACCTGATTCCATCCACCGGACCGGACCCACTGGTCCTCCACTCAAATGGTGGCGCCCGAGGCCGTGAACCCCATGGCCTTGCCACAGACGGTGGCAGGCTTCCATGCCTTGGTCGGTGCCGCCGCCGCGCCTTGGGCGGCGTTCGAGGAAGCCGTCCGCCGTCGACGCCAAGGAGACGTGCCAGACACTGGTTGCGGAACAAGGGCCAACCGGCTGAAACAACGCAAGAAAGACCGGACTTATATAGGTCCCACTCTCAATTTAGAAGATAATACTACAAGGCATGTCCGAAATCCTTTCGGTGCAGGGGGCTTTGTTGGTTGGTCTAGACTTCACACGGCCAGTCTTGAAAAAAACGTGGGATTTACCAGGTTCTTCAGGCTTAAACTCCAAACTCATGGGGTCCCAGACGGCCAATTTGAAACCAAAGGTTGGCAGGCCACGAGACGGCTTCGAAACCTGAGAGTTTGCAGGGCCACGGCCAGAGGCCTGGCAGGCGTCCATCGCCAAGTTCTTAGCCCTTGCTGCCCTGCAGTGCCCTGGGCGCCACCCCGCTGCCAGGAATTAAATCTATCGGGACCCGCTAGGATCACAAGACTTGCTTTGAACCCATGAATCGAATCACTTACAGCCCACACATTTGCATATTCCATCCGAACAATCCCCTTTACTGAAGCCTTTGGCAGCATGTTGAGTTCAAGTTCTGACTTTTGCGTTTGTTTGTCCTTTTTCTGCTTGTTTCGTTCGGTCAATGGTTTGGTGTATATTGGGGGAGGTTAGCCTCAAACATGACACCCAAACACCGATGTTCCATCATTTTGTTGGAATATGTGTGTTCCCCAAAATTGATAGACAAGTCATCCCTCGGAACATGTATTGGAAACTGTTTCTATTACCAATCGTTTGGAGGCCACTGTAGTGTACCTTTGAACTCTTAAAACTCTTTGTCCAAGCCAAGTCCGTTCAAACGGGTATTTCAGCACATGAGTCATTGTTGTTTGGACAAGAGTTCTGTTTGGGCGTTCATGCTCTACTCAAAGGAGAACATATGTTTTAGAGTGTGTTGACCGCCGCGTTCGAACGAGTGAAGAGTGAAGTAATTCCGACTTCGGACTTTGGGTCGTTGTTTTGAGGATATCCAACCAATCCAGAAAAACATAACACGGTCCCTTTTTTGTTTTTTCAATGTTTTTCAGACCCTTAGATATCACTAGAGTCCATTGACCCCAAAGGTTTGGCCTATCGCTCAGGTGGCCACCTGTTTGGGCAGCCACATGATCCACCCGGACGCTAGCGTAGGACACAAGGCCATCGCGTGGGATGAAGAACTGACTTGAACCCGGAGGGGTTGGAATGAAGAACTGAGGCCACACCGGATGTTTTGACAAACATGTACTCCACAGGGGCTCAGGAGGCTTTGGATGATACAATGTGATACATTGTGATATATATATATATATGGTCATACCTAGATCTTTCAACTATGCAAAATGTATGCCTTTTGGCTGGTTTTTATACACTAAAAGGCATAAATGCATAGTTGCAAGATCTAGGTATTTAAGGTCCAAAACAGCCTAGCAGAACCTTGGAGGTTGGAACCCAGTGGCCACCCCTGTCCGAGAACTCGTTAAACCCGACAGGTGTCCCATGTGCGAGACGCCAACATAAACCGCATGGACTGGTCAATCGAACTTCCTGCCTTTGAAAGGGTGTTGCACATCACCAAGCGGTAGGAGTCATTGTGCGACGTTCTTGAGACCTATCATGAATGGTTCCCCCGACGGTTGGACCGTTTAGATGTCTAAATCGTCACCACTCCGCACCGTCTTGTTCTCCAAGTTCTCCATGATCAAATCATGGAGACCTCCCACCAGGTGGTTGGTCAGTCGCATGGGTCGACCATGCACATCTTAGGACCAAAGTCTTGTTGTTCTTAAGACGCAATGCCCAGAATTGGCTGGTTGGTCCACTTGGTTGGTGAATCCAGCCGGTCCAGCCGGGCCCCTCAAATGGCCCGGCATAGGTTTTGAAAAGGTGGGGCGTAGCGAAGACATGCGAAGACTCTTGCAGGTCGGGGCGATGCTGGGAAACGCCATCGGAGGCCTGGGCGTGCCATGTGTAGGAGAAGGGCGGGTGTGCACTGTGATTACTACTGTGATTTAGTGGTGTCCATTTGGTTCTCGCACCATTTTTGAATGTGGGCACATGGTCTTTGTGATGGTCTTTGATCATACGTGTCGTGTCGCGGCGAGTCTACAGGGGCTGTGGCGCCAGCTTGTGATGGTCTTTGGTTCGGGGCAAGCGAGAATTCTCCAAACACTCCACTGACTTACTAAATATGTCCAAATTGGATAGGTTTGAGAGGCTGGAGCACTTTCCCGTCCAATCATAAATAACTTAAAACTTAAAACCAAAGATTATATAATGCTTTCCTTAGCTCTGGAAAGGATCACGCCAAAGAGCATGCAATGCAGAAAGAAGGTGCCTTGGAATGTCAATGGCGTGGTTATTTCCAAGAGTGCCTGCCATAAGTGGCAGCTCTTTTAGGCCTAAACAGCCCAAAGCCACATTTCAGCTGCAGCACCAACACTGTTCACATAACTGCTTGGCTGGATTTGGAGATTTGGATTCACCAGTGGAATGACCCCGCTTCCACTGCAACAAAATTCCGCTGGAGCCAACTTTGTCGGCCGCAACAGAGCGATCCATCCATTGAACGAGTTCCACCTTCCCGCTTCCCCTGCGTACTTTGCCCCAGCCTCCTTACCCCCGCAAATATTTGCCTGTCTTTCGCCAGTCTATCCACCCTAACTCTCTTTGTTCAGTCTTCCCAAGTGAACGCCTGAAGAAAGAATCACCCGGGAACGGCCCAGTCCACACCATTTGCTTCACTTCAGTCCACCCGATCCTCGCAGGGATCACCTTCACTGGCAGCTTGGTGGCCTTCGGCCACTCGGACAGCAAGTGCAGCATTTTTCTACATGCACGTCAATGTGGAGACGGAAGGGTGACCAATTCTATAGAGACGTTTCACGTAGGTGGACTTTAAGGGACTTTAAGGGTGGACTTTAACAGGGATGTTTCACTGTTTCATGTTTATGGACTTTAAGGGTGATGACATCACTGGTTTTCCATCGTTTGGTTTTGCACCTGGCTTCAACCCGCTACCGGGATGTGGTTTTGAGCAGAAATTGGCCCCAGTGTTTAGAAATCCAGTGTTTACACTGACCTCGTAACTTTGGGTGTGCGTGAGAACTATTCAGAAAACTTATGTGTAGTATTGTTTACTGATTTTTACTTGCTCAAAGTCAGTGCGGCAAGAGGCACGTGTTGGGAACAAAAGCGAAGTGAACGTCAACCTAGCTGATGGGGCGTAGTTGGAAATGCCACGACAAGTCACCTGAAAAAAATAGTTGAAGGATCTCGCACCAGAACCCTCCAACACGTCATCAATTGAGACCTATGCGTCTTGGGCCCAGCAACCCTCTACAGGAGACCTGTTGGAGGAGGCGGCCGTGATGACTAACTACCGTTATACTAACCGCTATAGTGAGTGTTTTTTTACAAGAAGGACTGTTGTGGGTTGCGATGTTATACTACCTCTTCCTTTTTTTCACCCACAACAGTCCCTTCTCTTGTTGTTCACACACATGATGTGTTTGGTTTGTCCAGCTATGGTAGACACCTGTTCGACTCTTCGACCTGTCTGGTTTTTTGGACCAAAAGGCAGCCACATCGCCTCTCTTCATCTCATTGGCGTTGGAATAGCCCATTCGGTCAGAAAGGAATGGGAGAGAATGGGAACACTGCATGGGCAGTTGAGCAGTTTTTGTTGGCTGCTTCTTTGTCCGCCGTTCTGAGGCAAATTGAATGGGAACATGAGTTCCAAGCCCTTCAACCTGCCCAACAAGAAGCTTGGAATACAGAACAAGAAGCTTGCGGTTCCGCTGTGAAGACAGGCACATCGGCACATGGACCACATGGATACCGGATACCCTACATGGATCTGCTCTAGGAGTATACAGATGGTTCAATTGGATATCCTTGAGGCCCTCCCGCAAGCAGGGGAACAAGACACCGACTTGTTGAATTCGCGCTGAACAAACAAAGCGTCGTCCTGGGAGTAGAACCTGCCATTTTTTCAGAGTGGCTGAATAGCTTCACGAATTGTGGTCTTGGCCCAAAGCGGTTGTGGCCCTCCTAAAAGCATGTCCTTGAAGTCCTTTAAGAACCCAAACAGCTTCGCTGAAGGGACACGTGCGACATCGAAAAGCCCACCGACATGACATATCGAGGAATCTAGGCGTCGGTAGGTGGGCCACAAGACGAGGTGCGGTTCGTTTCCCGGTCTGGGAGGGCATGAGAGAAGCAACCTCAATGACTGTGTGATGAGAATCAGTTTGTTGTAGCCTGCAATAACCTGGATTTCATACAACCCAAATTGTAATCCCATGACACCATGTTTTTCCTCGGTTGCTTTGTATGGCAACCTTGTTCACCTCGGCTGCGACAGTCAGGAATTTGCTGAACCTTGGCATGGCTGCATCCCAGTTCCTTGGTTTTGCGAGAGCACTTTTTGCAAGTGCTCCTCATGTGTTTGGGAAGTTGCGGAGCTGGTGAATACCCTGACTGACATGGCTCAAAATCGGGAGCTGGTTCCAGGGCAGGTTGACCTCACAGGTAGTTTGTTCTGTTCATTCTTGGTGGTCAACAAGGGTGTCCCGGTTTTGACCCACAGCTACCTGGACAGCTTCAACCCTCCAGTCGAACGAGTTCGACGGACCAGGTTCTTCATGGTTTGTTCCAAGATCCAATCCTCACCCTTCTCCACTGGAGGTCATACCTTTGCAAATGGGCCTCTTCACCCTTGTATGACACATGTTCATCCTGCACACAGGTCGCCCTCACATTCGGCGGAGACCCGGATATACAATGCCAAAAAGAGTTATAGCCACCACCGGCACTATGATGTCAGACTCGCAAAAATACAGAACAGCCATTGTGGATCACATGTGGGAGTGTTGCATCAGCGTCCAAGAAGAGGCTCAGCAACATAGTGAATCAAAGCGCTGTATACGCAAACGATCCCAGTTGATCATTGTCTCCAGATCTATGTTGGCGATGCCCAGCAGGGGCAGGGAGGGTTCGAGAGGAAAGGAGTTCCGAAGCGCTGGTGCCCCAACGGGCCTTAGAGCAGATCACAAGTGGCAGACTCCACAGAATCTTGCCTTGTCCTACTGCCACCTCTTTGAAACTGTCTGAGGGGTAGACCGCACCGACCTCCTGATGCAGGCAGATCAAGTCTCTAGAAGAGCTGTCTCCAGAAGAGCCTGAACTGACCCACCCAGGGCTATGGGACAGGCAGGCCGCTTTGCCCATGTGGCCAAGTGGGGTCCATACTCCCAAAACTTCTTTCGCCACAAGGCTGCGCATCATCGGCCCACACGGCACACCGCTAGCCTGTCTCTTCCTTACACCAATAGCTTTACGTATACGCAGGGGCCCTTCATAGGGGATCGAATCCTCCACATCTTCGGCTTTTAGCTGGCTGTGTCCAACCACATCTTAGGTGCCCCCTTCCCCAAGAGCCACCAAGACAAGACCACTACAAGAATTGGCACATTTGTTGTGACTAACTCTCATCATGCCTGGTCATGCCTTCTTCCATAATTTTGGGACAAACTCCAACCACCTCCAGTGATCACATTGCTGTTTTGGTTTCATGCCCAGGATGGGAATGCTGGGCCTCTATTGCGCGACCAGCTCACCTGGCCTCGGCACAGCCTTAATGTGCCGCGTGGGCGGGCGTACGTCGGGGCGAGACAATGGAGTGCGCCGGGGCGAACCGACCTGTAACAGGCGAGGGCAGTGTGTTTCCCATGACCTGTAACAATCCATAAAAGGGATGATCACTCTTTTTGAGATAGAAAGGCCTGTAACCTAATGTAACCTATAGCCTATATCCATTATCATCCACTGTGACAGGGAACGGGATACACCCAGGCCATATGTTTGATTACCACCAAGATTGGAACTGGCAAGTAAGAACTTGCACAACACCAAAAAAACAATATCAATTTAGTCTTTAAATGGATTGGAGTGAGGAAGGAAGACTAACAAAACTATACATATTATCATATGTCATATTGTGCCCAAACTGCATTATCTCCAAAGCATTTTCCAAGACATGTCAAGCATACCCTTGGATCCCAACCGGTTTTATCCGCATTGTCCCGGCAAGAAACCCCAAACAGTGTGTGTGTGTGAGGTCTAGAGGTGTAGCAACAGAAAGTCTAGAGATCTAGACGCATTGCGGTCCAGAGAGGTGATGGTGGTGATGAAGGTGGAGATCGTGGTGATGGTGGCGGTGGTTGTGAGTGAGTGAGGGTGAGTGAGAGTGATTGATTGAGTGAGGTGAGGTGAGGTGAGGTGAGTGAGGTGAGCGGCTAGCGAGGTGAGTGAGGCGAAGTGAGTGAGTGAGTGAGTGAGTGAGTGAGATTGTGAGTGAGTGTGAGTGAGTGAGTGAGTGAGATTGTGAGTGAGTATGAGTGAGTGTGTGAGTGAGTGTGAATGAGTGCGAGTGTGAGTGAGTGTGTGAGAGAGATAGAGTGAGAGTGAGTGACTGTGAGTGAGAGTGAGAGAGTGAGTGAGAGAGTGAGACTGAGAGTGGGAGTGTGAGCGTGTGTGAGTGAGAGTGAGAGTGAGAGAGGGTGAGAGTGAGAGAGGGTGAGAGTGAGAGAATGAGCGAGTGAGAATGGGAGAGTGAGAGTGAGAGTGAGTGAGGAGCGTGAGTGTGAATGTGAGTGTGAGAGAATGTGAATGTGAGGGAGAGTGAGTGCGAGTGAGTGTGAGTGTGAGCGTGAGCGTGTGTGAATGAGAGTGAGAGAGAGTGACAGCGAGAGAGAGAGAGAGAGAGTGAGAGTGAGAGTGAGAGAGTGTGAGAGTGAGAGTGAGTGTGAGAGTGAGTCGAGAGTGAGAGGGAGAGTGAGAGAGAGGAACAATGAGGAACATGTAAGTGCGAAGAGACGTCGCGTTTGAATATTTTCGATTACAGTACATGCAAAGCCGTTGTGCTTTGAGTAGTCGCAGGGATTTCCGCCGGTTTCCCACCATGGCAGCTGCAACCACATCGTATGACCAGAAGATCAGCGTGATGGCTGCATTGGCCGAAGCCCATGCCACTTTGAAGGTGGCGCAGAAGCAAGTTGAAGACATAGAGGTCATGCGGTGGCAGATCTTGGAGATGGACCTGGTGTTTGAATTCCTGTGACCTAAACACCCAAGGTCGGTATTCTTTAGTCTTTAATTTGCTTCAAGTTGTCAGCGCGTGGACAAGAAAGGAACACACCTTGCTGATCGCACGGGCGTGCGAAAAAGCTCGTAGTAGCGTTCTTGTTCCTAGTAGTAAGGCCGGGTGCCCCTAGTAGCGTCTTTGTTCCTAGTACCGATGCCCTTTGCTCCTAGTAGCGTCCTCTACCTTGCCTTGCTTTCAATCACAGCGGTATGTTTCTTACGCCGTGCGTAATTGGGGCGTTTTTGGAACGCAGGTCTCTTCTGTGATCAGTTGGTTTGCTTAAAACTGGCTTCCCATATTTCTGGCTGTGCCGGCGCTCCCTGAGTGGCGAAGCAGACCACAACTCGTTTCCCACACGACGCCGGGTTCGACATTGGTTTGGACATGTTCCACCATCAGGGTTAGCTGCAGATGGACCAACACCCAAATGAATCCTATACTGCAAAAGAAGCCTCGCATTCGCTGGCTTATCTTGCTGGGTCCATGGCCGCACGGTTCACCCCGCAGGCTCCCCCTCGGAAGCCTCATGCAAACCACGTCACTAAATGGGCGGATAGTATCGCTTGGGAAATGCGTGGCGCGTCCCTTGATGCTCACGCCACGATCCAGGCAGTCGCGCTATCCGGCGAAAGCTCGGCGACGCACTTCTCAAGATCACCGCCCCCAATGTGACCGAAGAAAATTTGCAATTGTATAAAAATAGGAGTTCATGACCTCGTCCCTGAGTGTGATGGATAAGGAGTCGGGCACTGCTATGTGCCAAAAGCTCATCGGTGCATACATGTCCTCCTTGTTGGTATAAGATCAATTCAAACAGACTCTGGGTTGAACTTGCTTTTGGTAGACTTCCAAACAGTAACAGTGAGGAGATTGTAGTGCTAGGCGCTAGCTTGGATGATTCTGCCAAGGTTGATTTTAAGCGTCAGAAAACAGGAATGCCTTTTGCATCCAAGGAGCAAAGCCTTTCTTCGACTTGTGGCACAGAAGGTTCCATTGCCAGATCCCCACGCTGTGTTTGCTACTCAGTGTGGCCAGGTCAGTCTATGCGCGAGGGGGCCAGGAGGGGACATGCAGATCAATGCCACCAAAGCGTTGCGCCAAGGAAGCCTGACGCTCACAGGTCTTATCAACGAGCTCAAATCGACCAACAATCAGATTCAGATTATCAACGGCGAGCTCGAAAAAGTCTGAATAAAAGAAAGGACAAGATGATCCAGGAAGCCGATTTAATTGAGCTCCTGGACCCTGCTGGAAAAAGGACCGGACAAGAGACCACATGCATCAAGCCGCACGCTTGGGCACTCCTCGGCACTCAGCTCCCCATCTACATTCGCGGGGGTCTGAGTCTAACGGACGTCTTCGCTTTGTCATGACAAGCATCGACTCCAGTCAAGTGCAGGAGACAATGTCAATGTTTGAGGAATACGAGAAGAAGCTCCCTGCCAGCTGCCTTTCAGCCACGAAAAGTGACCACCATGTCCGAAAATGCGCACGGCACCACAACGAGAGCGCAGTCGCGACAAGCACCCGCCGCGCCCACGCAGATTTTGCGAGCCTGCGCAGTGAATGCACTTCGAGGACTTCGAGAGGCATGAATGCACTGTAAATAGCAGCGCAACACCTCTGGTTAGACACCGGTGCTCAACAACTAGCGTAAGAACCCCTAGTGTGTCCACACTGCTTGGGGAATAAATATGTTCAACGATTCAACGAAGCTCGGGAAGAACCTCTTGATCACTACTTTTGAACGTCACGTGTTGGATATCAAATGACACGTGACACGTGCGCCATGTCCACAGGGAGGCCCCACCCCTTGGCCCCAGTGACCTGTGACTTGTGTGGTTCACAAAGAGCGTAAGCTTGCCCCCAGACATAGGACCCATGTTGTTTTTGTTTTTGTTTGTTCAGTAGATGTTCAGTAGATCCTTTCTGTTGAAGGGAGATATCCTGCATTGCCTTTGTGAGGATGGTGTTTTTGCAAATAAGAACACCCTCGCGTTCTCACCATTTGGTCGCATCCAAACCATCAAAACCGGTCTGTGAGGTTTGGAGGGTGGTGGAGTGGTGGGGTGCAGGGTTTTTGGCCCATCAAACACATGTCGGATGGCGAGTCCTTCAAACCGGTCCGACATGTGCTTTGCCTGCCCAGCCCTTGAGAAACACTGCCCCACATGTGGCCTTCATGCATGATGATGCTTCTCTCGTAGGCTCAGGAGTGCTACGTTGGCTTGGGATATACCCCCTTCAGAGGAAAACTCCATTTTTTCACACATTGAAATTGTGTTTTCTCTATTGGTGTTTTATGCTGGGTGCCATGCTAGTTTGGAGGAAGAGACTTCATGAGAAATCTTGCATCCCGGTCGTCTGAAAAAACTAACACCAGTGTTTGGAACAACGGGATGCGCACGGCTAGCGCACACGTCATAAATCCTTCGGAGTCGCGTGGCGCTTCGGTCGGACCGACGTGTCGGGCGACCGACCAGGTACGGCACGACGGCACTCTCCAGCACGATGGGCGTTCATTTGGTGGGCAGCGTGGGCGGTGGCGACATGCCCTGCTGCATCACCGTACTGTGCCTCGGTGAAACGAGACGAGGTCGCCTCGCGAGTGGTAGTGCCTCGGCTCGGTCAAGTTTAGGCAGAAAACTGGGGTCCCGGAGTTTTCTCATCTTCCACTTCATTTCACATAGTAGACAAGTGTGGTGGTTTCAGATAGTAACATGTTGAAGAAGTTCCTCTGATTCGAAAAAATGGCGGGAGGGATGGGATGGACAATCTGACCTTGCAAGACCTGAAACGAAAGCAACATTCCAGGACGGTGCCCAATGGAAGCCTATAGGTAGTGTGAAGTAGTCCAGCCAGGACACCCCGACAGGAGGGTCCTGGTTGTGTTGTTTCTATAGTGACCGACTCATACTTAAGTATTCACAGGGCCAAAGGGTTCTTAGTGTGGAAATTTCATCATTTGGACAAAACACATCAGGGGGTTCTAAGTATGTGTCCGTCACTATAGATGTCAAGATTCCGGGATGTCAAATCAGTCAAATCAAGATCCTTTTCTGCACATGTATAACCTTTGGGGTTACCATCCGCATACGACCACCACTTGGCATCATATTTGAGTCCTTCTTGTGCTTTCGATGCCCCACCACAATGCTGAAAAGAACGCCTTAAACGTCCTCCAGGACGTTTGCCAGCTACAACCTCGGCAGAAAAATACATCATATATAGTTGAAACATTTGCGGCTGAACCAATCCACCCTGAATCATCAAAAGGGATTTATTCTTGGAAGATCCTTGAGATTTGCTCCATCCAAGTAGAATTCTCCATATTCATACGAGGCTGTGTGGAAACACACATGAGCCATCAAGGGCGCTGTCACTTTCGACCCGGCCGAAGAAACAAGAGCCAAGTTTGGGCCGACCGTGGGCCGTCCGTGGTCGGATGAAGAATCAAAGAACTTTGATCATTCAAGAAGTTGCCAAGAATGATCAGGCCATGCGATGCCCGACATGCTCCGTTCGTAGCTTCGTAGATCGTCCATCAGGTACTAAAGTAGATCGTCCAAAGTGTCACGGCAGGGTTCGAGGTCCACTTCTCTTCAACATATCGTTGCTGCAAGATGCTGTTTGTGCATTACAGTAGCCGTAGGGTGCGAACGTGATCAAACCATTAAGTGAGGTGTGGAAGCAATTTGACCAAATGGGAGACCCAAATGCACAACCCCTGTTGCCACGAAACAAAAGCAAAGCAGGTGTACAGCTCCTTTCTAAGAGCATCCATGCTTAATCAATGCTTTGTCTAAGTTCAGATCGAACCCCCGATCCTGATCCTTTATGACTTCCACACTGGCCTGACGTACCCTGATGAACTCCAAATCAAAAAGAAAACCATGTCAGAACCTAAAACCCAAAAATCCCACGTTCCCACCGTCTCCACCGCTCCCGTCTCACCTGCTCACAACGTTGGGCGTTACCCCTGCCCCTCCACCCTGCCCGGCCGGCCGGTCTCGTTGGTCTCAGGAACTCGTACAGCGGTTGGGCCTTAGTGGCCGAAGGCATGTTGCTGGGAAGTCCCACCTTGACCGTGGTGGGCTCTTTGATCGGCTTTAGCGGTGCCTTGGACGCGATGAGAAGGGGGATGTGTGGCCGGGGAAGCGAAGAAAGATGAGATGGGTGGCCGGGGCTACAGACGTGTGTTTTTGGGTTGTTCTGAAAATAATGGGTTCATATAGGTTCGATGGTCTTGAATATGTGTGTTTTTTACACAAGGCTTCTACCCATCCAAGAGAGGTAGTTTGATTTAGCAAACTTTGTTGCGGGCTTCCGTCAGGATCGCAGTCGGTGAGAGGCAATGCTGGGACTCCAGCCCCCAGTGCCTCTTACTCTTCGAACGGGCACTGCTTCCTTGTGGTGAGTTGCTACCAAAGGCTTCAGTGTTCTCAAGCATGCCTCAGTTTGTTATTGAATTGGCTGGTTAATGTTTGAATGCCAAACCAAGTCATAAGTCATGGCGAGGTGACAAAGAGTTCCCTCTCTAAAAGGGAACAACTATATGCTTACGTGCTGGCCACGACACTCCCGAGTGAAAGGATGTGAAAGGATTATGTTTAGATCTTTGATGTTTTTTTTTGCAATTTCTACCAGCATTACAAGAAGTTGTGGGGCAGGCATGTGCAGAAAAAAAACTGCATGTGGCACCAAGTCAGGGGAGCTGCTAGCTGTTTTGAGCCAAAACCAACCCAAAACGATTATATGGCTGTGGGTCAACACCGGGGGTACCCTGGTTTTTCCAAGTGTTTCCGAGCAGAATAGGCGCCCCCAGACATGGTCAACCTACCAGGGCGGTTTGGGGCACCAGGTTTTGAATCAGAGCCGGTTGCAAGTTCCCACTTTGGATGACAGTACACACCCGAGCCGCTCAAGCAATCATGGAAGCTGAGGACGAACTTCCCCCCTTGTAGAGGACAAGACTGGTCTTCCAAAAACCGAACTGTTCCACGTAATCATGATTGTTTCAGGGAGTATAAGTGTTCGGGTGGGGGTGGTTGGACCGGCAGGTATGACGAGGGGTGGAACCAAGTGCTGACCCTCAGCTGATGAGTTTAGATTCTGTTTAGATGACCAGCATGGTCAGAATATCTTGGCACTCATAGGAGACACTTAGATTGCAATGAATTTGTCATCAGAGGTGCGGAGTTTGATGGCAGCCAAATCTTTGTGCCAACCCGCACACGACGTGCCAACCATGTGCCTTTTGACGTCAGTGACAGCTGGTTTTTGTTTGATCTGTGGGGGATACCAAGTGCAGTTGAGCCCCAACCGAGGGGCTTCACCCGCAGCTGCGTGCTTGGTTTCCACCCGGTCGCTGCTTGCGCGGACAGTACCACCACGCGTTCGCGTTCGCGCGTCGACCGGTCCGCTAAGGTGCCATTCTCACCAAGATCATGTGTGCCAGGGTCTAAGTCCGGCAGTGGACGACTGAAGGCAGTGGACGACTTCCCATGCAAATACATTTCTGGTGAAATCGAGTCGTGGGTCTTGGGGAAGGAGCAGAGATTGTTTGGGGAATGTGTTGGAATTGTTAGTATGTGAGAGACCTTAAGTCTACTGTAATTAGTTTTCATATGTTTCAATTATGTTTCAATCCCTGGTTGCCCACTACTATTCACGAGGTCAATGAGGGGTAAGTGGGGTTGACATGCAAGTGGTCAAGGCATTAATCCATCATTGATGATTCTGGATGGAGGGTTCGTTTTGATGGCTTCAGCGATACTTCTACCACGTCATGTCGCATGAAACGGGTTGCAATCACTTGTGTTTTTTGTCACTAGTTGTTTGATACCAGCGAACGTCATGTCAAGTTGCAGCAGTCCTCTAAATGACTTGCTGTGGACATCATATGTCCTGGACAGGCAATCAACTGCAAGACCGACCTGGATTCCGCCACGCATTCGCACCATTGCACAACCGCACAACCCAAGATACCACCATGTGGTGACCACGGACACCCAAGCGCACAGTGTCCAATTTGAATGCAAGCTGTTTTGTAACAACTGATTTGTATGGATGATGCAGTTTTTCCCTATGAATGCAGGCAGTGTGCGGCACGGCACACTGAATGAGTCGAACATCGTCCATCCATCCCTCCGTCCATCCATCCATCCATCCATCGCGGAACCTCCCCCAAGGATGCCATGAACCGCGACATCATGAACGTGATCTTCGGTGGGATGAGCGTTGCCCCGCCCAAGAAGGCTCCCGTCCGGTCGGCCGGCTGAGTGTTTTGCGGTGAAGGCGGAGGTGGCCGGTTCGCCGTACTGGTGCAGGTGTGGATTGAGAGTATACGGCACAAACCCCGGTGGTATATATGGAACTCCTATCGAATCTAAAGGACATCTTGGGTGGGCTTATAGTGCCATCTACTCTACAACCACTGTATGTTGAACCAGCTCGCTGGATGGTTCGTTAAAGCTGCTCGCTCTTTTTGGAAAGCAGCCATTGGTGAAGGGGCGATTGAGGAACCACCACTCCAGACCCAGAACCACTCCATCCCAACTGAAAAACGCTGTTCCCGGCGAGTTTGGCCGTGTTCGGACTTGTCGGCGGTTTGGTGTTTTCTTTGTCGTGGTTCTTTTTTCTTCGAGCTGGATGTGACGCAAGTGAATGAGTCCTGGATTTCGTGACGGGGGTTCATGTCCACCTTGTTGGGATGATCATCGCACCCTTCTGGCGTTTTTGGATGGCGCGGACGGAAGCGGATGGGGGAATAGGTAGGCAAGGTGGAACACCATTGGAGGAGAATAAGATGATCCCAAGTTTGACGGTTGTGGTCACTGGTGGTTTTCGCCCACTCGCCCGGTGATGCGAACTTCTTGAAGTCCTTTTTAGATGTTTTTTGGATGGCTCGAAAGCATTCAAAGGATTCCGATTCACTCCCTGTGGAGGCTCTAAGTTTCGATGAGAGAAGAACCGAGTTGGAGCGGGGGGGGCTTTGAAGTCCCGGAGCTTGTAGACTACAGAAAGGGGGCCCAAGGCTGCTGAGCCCGGGTGCTGTTCCACCCGGATCCGCGCAACAGCGAGTGACGCGCGCGCGAGTGACTCGCCTTGGAGCGCCGAGCGCCTGGCCAGGGTGGTGCAGTGGAGGAGGTCAAGGACTGATGAGAAAACAGTCTGCGATGTGTCGCTTTTCAGCGGCCAAGAAGGCAGCTACAGCACCTGAAGAATTCATGAATTGAATCACTGCTTGGATTTGTTTGGTGGGAAAGTGTCTGGGTGCTTCCTTTTTTTGATGTCTTGGAAATATTAGGGAGCTGACCGTCCTGATTTGTTCAGTCGATGAACTCCTGTTGCCTAGCTGTTTGATCCGACCACCATCTTCACAGTTAAAGGGGTACCGTCGTGTTCGACTCGTTTGTGAGCATCGAGCCCAGCATAAGTGGAGCAGCCCGCTGCTGGAAGCAAAGGTAACAGAACGGAGCAGGGCGTGAATCACCAATCTTGAGGCCTGTGAAGTATATTCCTTGGGGGTGTCCGAACTTGCCTGTAACAGTCGGTCAACCAAAAAACAATATATTTATTTTTAGACTAGGGCCTTTACTAACCATCATCAGCCACTGTTACTGGTAATAGGATATATATATACATAAGGCAGCAGGCACCCCTGTGATCTACCTATATGTATTGACAATATATAATATATATCAAAACTTTCCCATACTGCACATATGTTGGAAATATTTCCAATATTTCCAAAATTTCAAAATTATCAATATCGCAAAAATTTGCTAAAATTGCAAATATCGCAAATATTGCCAATATCGCAAATATTGCCAATATTGCACATGTTTTATGAAATATTTCAACAATATTTCAGATATTGCCAATATATCATATATTTCAACTAGTATCACATATTCAAAGATATCCTACATGTTCAATATTCCAAATACGGTTAATATTGCAAATATTGTCAATTTTGCAAATATTGCAAAATGGTACATATTTTTCAAATATTGTACATATATCAAAAAGTTCAATTATAGCACATACTTGAAAGGCTTTTGATATGTTGAAATATTGTCAATATTGTCGATATTGCTATTTCAAATATGATCCATATATCGAATAGTTCAGATATATCACATAATTCAAAGGTTTTCAATGTTTCCAATATTGTCAATCTTGCAAATGTTTCAATTATTGCAAATATTGCATACTGTATATATATATATTTTTCTATGTTTGACATATCTCCATTATTTCCAATACTTCAGGTATTGCCAATACATCAAATATTTCAAATATATCACATATTTTCCTGTTTTTCCATATTTGCAATATTTCAATTGTTGTCAATATTGCAAATATTTTCAATACTGCAATGCCAAGTATTGCCAATATTGCTAATATTACAAATATATTTGGCATATTGCCATTATTTCCAATACTTCAGATATTGCATATCACATAGTTCAAAAATATCACATAGTTCAAAAATTTCCAATATTTCCAATCATTGCCAATATTGCAAATAGCCAATATTGTATATCAGTATATCTATATATTTGACATTTCTCAGGTATTTGAAATAATTGACTCAATTATTTCAAATACCTCAGATATTCAGGGTATATCAAATTTCAATAATTTTCAATAGAGCACATATTCCAAATATTCTTGCAAAAATATCTACATTATTTCCAATACCTCAGATATATCAAATATTTCAAGCATCTTCAATATTGCACATATTGCAAAAAGCTTGAATTTTTGACAATATTGGACATATGTGTGAAATACTCCTTCAGAACACCGATCAGACAACCTGTTACAAGTCTATGACTGCTGCCAGGCGTTTGGTTTTATGCTTTTGTTTGGACATAAAAAATCACGCAAAACGGGGACTGTCAACAGCTGTTTGCTACAACAGGCTTGGTGGAGAGTGCGCAGTGAGAGGAACACATGTTCGTGGGGCCAACCTCGGGGAGGAGGCCAGGCCTGCGTGTCCGTGGGCCTTGCCATTCAAGATTGGATTCGGGTTCAGAACTGATTTGGCAATGTTTGACCCAGGGCTATGTCAAGGAGGACTTCTACATTGTAGGTTTTACCTGCAAAGCCTTCTCGCAGGCGCTTTGGAAAAGTTCATTGAAGAAGAACAAAGCTATTTCAGTTATTTGATGGCAAGGCAATGCCATGTCGGTGCCTGTGGTGGGCAATGTGATTATGGGCATTTTGTTGTATGGAAATTTTGGCCGTGGGCGCAAACACCTGCGTCCTCGACATTGGACAGACCCCACGAGTGATCTGAGGAACAACAGACGCACCATGGAGAACAACCACCGAGCGATTCGATAGCGTCAGTTGTGGCCTGGCGATTGTTTGAAAGGACTGTTGTGGCACCAGATTGATGACAGTGGGTGATAGCAAAGTCGAACACGTATTATAGGATGTTTTGCGTTTCCGGATGGAGCAAAAAAAGAAGGTAGGTGTCACCACTGCTGGGCTGGATGTCTGGTGCTGGTGCTGCAGCGCATCTATGACCCAGTGCGTCAGGACACGCCTGGCTGCCAATGGCGGCTTGCTGAGCAGGACTGCTCTTGCGTGCGACTGCTGTACTCGCGGTACTGCCTTCGGATATCGTTCCTGATGGCTCTCACCGATGCCATCTCGGCTGCTTTCGCATGCGAACCATGCTCAATATCACCGCCGCGTCTTGGCCCGTCAACACCTTGCGAATGGCATTCTCCTGACGAGCGGCGACAAGCAGTGTCTAGCCGTATCCCTGTCTCGACAGTGACGCAGACGCTGCCTTGGTCCGCCACACTCCCAGTGTTGGCACCATCCAGATGCACCAAGCATCGAGTGTACTTCAGATCCTGCGGACCATCTTCGGGCGACTGCAGTACTCCAGTTCCTTTTGCGCGTCCTGCTGCCCTTGTACTGCGTGGCGCAGCGATGCTTTGCGTTTTCTCGCTGCTGGGCTGGATGTCTGGTGCTGGTGCTGCAGCGCATCTAGGACCCAGTGCGTCAGGACACGCCTGGCTGCCAATGGCGGCTTGCTGAGCAAAACTGCTCTTGCGTGCGACTGCTGTACTCCAACCGCTCCTGGATGCCCTTGCACCGACATGTGCATCAATCCTGACCCACGCCCTCCACGCCCTCCCCCGTTGACCACGCTACTATTGTAGCTTCACCCCATGAGGTTCCGAGTGTGACCACCTGAGGATGATGAATCCGAGAGCGTTTGTGACGATGATGTTTGACAGATCCGCCTCGTGGATGGGAAGAAGAAAGATGCTACAGGTTGCATGTCCGTTTTGCAGACTGTGAGGGTGAAATGAAAACGGAAAACGGAGATGAATTAATGAATTCTGAATGAAATGAAATGAGTATGTCAACAGCTGCGTTGTCAAACTTTCGCTTCCGTTTGACCTGCAAGTTGCTTTTTGCAGTCCTCACCTCCACATCAGTCGTCGAATTGTTGTCAGTGGTGCAACCGGAGAAAAGAAGCGTTTCCTTTCTCGAAAAGAGAATACGTAATGCGGTTCCCACCACTGGCAAGCACGTGGTGCAACCGGAGAAGGGGAGCGTTTCTTTTCTCGAAAAGAGAGTATGCAATGCGGTTCCCACCACTGGCAAGCACGGCGGGGTGTCACGCTGTGCCCAGGTGACAACCAGATGCCTGATTGCCTGATTCCCACAAAAAACTATATTCACCCCCGCTCGCCAGGAACTATGGTTGTGATCCCTGAATCCTGGCCCGCGTTATCGCCCTGATCTGTGCCTGCACTTTTCAAGTTTTCTTGCAACCGTGCCCCTGTTGCGCCCTGATCCGTGCCCCACTGGGGTAAAAGCATGCAATAACGCTCTCCTCTTTCTCAACCTCACCAAATACACTTTGATTGATGCGTGGCATGTCAGCGTTTAGGTCTTAAGCAGCACGGCAACAGACACTCCACGCAGGCCCATTGCAACATCATCAGAGGCGCGCGTAAGAAGATGTTAGCAACCGCACCCCGACCAAACCACACTGCCGCTCACTGCGCCACCCCTGCACGCCACACAAAAGTACGCCGCGCCCCGTGCCACCCCCAGAAGCCACCCCTCAAGAGCATCACTAAAGTACGCCACGCCCCATGCCACCCCTAGACGCCACCCCCGAGAGTACCCTACCCACGCGGGCCCCGCGTTTAGCCGGGCAACTCCCTCTAGTGTTAATGCTATTACGCCTATGTCAATATATACCTAACATATTCCATATATGGAGCGTCTAGATTAGGATGAAAGTCAAGCGCAGCGATTCAGTTTACGCTGCAAGAAGGTTCAATCATGACACCCTCAAGCACCAAACCTGTTGCCATGGTGCAGAGGCTGAAATTCTTTCAAGTCAACATCTGCAAAACAGGTCCATGGTGCAGTCTTTCGTAGAAATCTGCCACTTCTGCGGAATTATACGATGCTTGATGCAGCCACCCCATAGTTGTGTGTGTGCCCCTTGTAGTCACAGGGATCCCGTTGGATTGTGGTTTTTCTTTTCAGCAGGGGGGTGCAGAGCACAGTGGAGACTGCACCCAACGAAGCTATCCACTTGTGCAGAGCCTGATCAGCTCTGTGTACCTGCTGGATTTTTAACTTTTCCTGAGTTGAGCTTGACACTCCGCAGACTTGCACGCTACGTCGTCACCCTGGACTTGCGAGTTTGGCCCTCTTTCCTCTTGAAGACCTCCAGGCTCCGATGTTCCTTACTGGTACTCTTAGGAAATGGAACCCTAGGCCGGCGTGTGGCACCGCTTTCAGTTCAGTACACCCTATCCTAAGTGTGTGTGTGGGGGGGGCACAGATTTTTTGTGTGTGTTTTTCCACGGATCTTCGGGTTCGTTTGCACGCAATGGTGCGTTTGGGCAGTGGTTTTTATCATGAGTGGCTAAGTTGGCATTCTGGACCAGGCCATAAGGGTCCAGAAGAAGAAAGGTCCTGCACCAGGTGTGTAGAAAGGAGGTGTTTTTCCCCAGATAGCATAGGGGTTCTTACTTCTCAATGGATGGGTTCCGGATTGCGGAAATTGGCTGCCGCTGCCGCCTTGTTTCCCAAGCTTGTCTCCCTTCATGATTTCGCTTTTGGCTGCCGCTGCCGGCTTGTCTCCCAAGCTTGTCTCCCTTCATGACTTCGCTCTTGGCTGCCGCTGCCGTCTTGTTTCTCCAGCTTGTCTCCCTTCATGACTTCGCTTTTGGCTGCCGCTGCCGTCTTGTTTCTCAAGCCTATCTCCCTTCATGACTTCGCTCTTGGCTGCCGCTGCCGGCTTGTCTCCCAAGCTTGTCTCCCTTCATGATTTCGCTTTTGGCTGCCGCTGTCGCCTTGTCTCCAAGCTTGTCTCCCTTCATGATTTCGCATGATTTCGCTTTTGGCTGCCGCTGCCGCCTTGTCTCCCCAAGCTTGTCTCCCTTCATGATTTCGCTCTTGGCTGCCGCTGCCGTCTTGTTTCTCCAGCTTGTCTCCTTTCATGACTTCGCTTTTGGCTGCCGCTGCCGGCTTGTCTCCCAAGTTTGTCTCTCCCTTCAGGATTTCGCTCTTGGCTGCCGCTGCCGCCGTGTTTCCCAAGCTTGTCTCTGTTCCTGATTTCGCTCTTGGCTGCTGCTGCCGCCTTGTCATTTTCTTGCCTGGCTTTGACGTGGATGCTGTTATATGATGATTTAGTAGGTCTTGTTTACCTTTTCCATCCTTTTCCCGGCTTTGAGTGGCCGCTCTTGCCATGGTGTCCAACTTTTCTTGAAGTGCTATCTGGGGTCTATGCCGGTATATTTGTTTTCCTTCATGTTGATTTTGTGCCTGGCTTCCAGATGCCTTTCGATATGCCTTTGCACTGAACAAGCAATGGCCAATCATTGCCATGGATCAGGTGGTTGAAGGGGGTGTCGGTCGCGCATAGGAACGCCAACTTACACCTAATTGTTCAAGAATGATTGGTAACATGTGCCAGAACAATATTCATAGAAACCATGCGAACCGTTTTGAACGTGGAGCACAACTTTCTTGGAGTGACAAGGGAATGAGGGGTTGGCAAACAGATTCTCCCTTCGAACACCCTCCCTGGTCTACACAGGCCCGTTTGTTCCAAAGGGCCCAGCAACTTAACCAACCAGTGGTGGCTGGGTGTGTTTTTTTTCTCCTGTGATCCATTTGTCAGGAGCACAGGGAGACCAAACCAGAGCAGGTGGCGGATCTTTTGTTGGACTCGAAAGAGGCCCGAGCTTCTGAGCAGCGGCCCATAGCCATGCGTGGTGAACCTGGCACTTTGACACGTGCTGTTCCCTTAGAAGACTGAGTATCGAATTTGACTGTTCCTCATGTGGCGTGGGGTTTGGAAGTGTGATGCCAGCAGAGTTATGACCCGAAGTGGTAGACCCGCACCAGTAGGCTGCACTCGAATTGGGTTGATGATTGGCATCCAGTAACGTTGTACCATAGACCTAGGTGGATGGCCAATAGATCTTGGGTCTATAGGTGGATGATGATCAGGTCTATCGATAATTTGGCAAATGGTTCAAACATGTGGCACCCTGATGTGCTGGAACTTTGGAGCAGTGCCGGTTTATGGTGGTCATGACATTCATCTATGGATGCCAGCTTGTCGCTTTGACAATCAGTATCAAGAAGAATGAACATGAAACTTTTTAATCCACCGAGGCGTTTTCCAGTGTTGTGGTTGTGGTTGTTTGGGTTGTTGGTATGGTGTTCTTAGGCGCAATATGCTGCAATGGCCACGTTGCCATACATCACATGTTGTTGATCCTGCTACCCTTGCCAACTATATAAGGTGTTCACTGACTACAAAAAATGAATGCTTTGACGATGGTGACGGTAATTGTGGTGGTTGATATCACCTCCTGAGCTCACTAGTGCTGCAGTTTCGTTCGCGGTGGGCGGCTCCAGAATTGGGGAACATCTTCAGCATGGCTGTCAGTCAGACAGCGATTGCACACGCCCCACGCTCCGAGTACCTCCTCAGAAGGTATTTGGACCCTCCAAACCCACCCCAAACACCACCTCAGAAGGTACTTGGAGCTCCAGGTTTCCAAGGCACTTTCAGATTCAGTTGCTACTCATGATGTGTGAAGGTCACAAGGAGGAACCTTCCAATGATAGGGAAGTTCTCAATCGGAAGCTGATCAGTGAAGGCAGTAGTGCACCACTACCTCAGCTGGACAGTAGTGGTAGGTTGAGTTCATCGATCCTGGCGACAGAAGATGGTGATACAGGGATGCACCATTGCGAACTCACCTACAAGGGTGCTCAAGAAACTGGGAAGCCCCCAATTGGTCCCAGACCGTCTGTGTGTTCTGTTCCACTTATAATATCCACTCACTTGCTTGAACATACGTGTCACAGCTCGGTGGTTTCCCATCCAGCGGGGAACGACATCTGAACCAGCTGCTCCTTGTCAAAGCCCAGCTGTGTGTATGGAACACCATCAAGAACACTACATGGATTGCATGGCAACACGGTCAGGTGATGATTGTGCCTGGCTACGGCATGGCCGTCTCACAGGCTGGGGTATGTGGTTGGAGAGAAAGCAAGAGCAGGCCCCTTGTAGACAAACGAGGATGGCCTCCCAACACTGGGAAAACACAATGAGTTTCCAAAAATATGGGTCTGGTCGGTGGTCTATCAGTTGTGGGGGGCGGTGTCAGATGTGTTTTTTTCAACCTTTACCTGTGATGATTGAACCCCCTGACGAGTATGTTCTTTCGTCAGTTGAAACCACCAACCATGAGGGTACATTGATAGACGTAAGTGGCTCCGCTCGACCCGATCTGCAGGTGTGCCTAGATCTGACAACTCAGTACTGTTTGCCATCCTGGGTTTTGTCGGGTTTTTCCGGCGGGAGTCAGCATGTGCGTTTGGCACGTTGGGGAATGAATTTTATTTGATTTGGGGGTCCTGAATGAGTTGGTTTGGGCGAACCACCAGGAAGCTTGGCATGACCTGTGAATCCCAAAATAGATGGCTTCATGACCTCCACAGCATGTACTGGGTCCAGGCTGGAATCGCACGTTCCAATATGTAGTTTTGCGGTGCACAACAATTGATTTAGCTAGAATACAGATGATCATCGGTGCACAGGAGATAAACCGGAGTCAGGAAGTGCCCCGCATTGGTCGACCCTTGTATGAGTTCTGTGTTCCTAATTATATAGGTTTGTTCCCAAGTGTGCTCGCCCAGACATACCATGTTGTATTCTCCTCGCTCCATCAATCAGAATACCTTCAGCTCATATGCTGGCTAACCCAGTGACTTGCAAACGAACAGTGCCATTTTCCGATGAGAAGTTCTACTAATTATAGACTTATAGATCATGTTGCAAGTCTTGCAATCGGTCAGGATCCTCCCACATTTCATCCAAAATCATAAGATCCCATACGATCTCAAGACTAAGATGTTCCAGACAGCATCGGCTCGGCATCAGACAACATTGGTCTTTCCAACGTGCACACCTTTCGTCGTTCTCCGGAAAAGGCTCAGAGGGCCGTGGCCGACATTGCCAACTTCCTGAAGGAGAAGGGCATCAATACGCGCCATGGCGGTTGGCGGTAGAGTCCGAAGAGGTCTGAAAGAGGCTGTGGAGAGTTGGGGCGTGAGAGATTGTTGGTGAGTGAGAAGCTACAAGGACCAAGGACAAAGGTAAAATGGTGAAATATCAACGACCGTTCAGAAGGGCCTTTCTATGTAGTTCACTTTGAGTTCACTCTTGAATAGGAGGTGACTTGGTGCAAACTTTGCAGGTGTGGCGTTGTCACTTTTGGTGGCAGGCACAGTTTTTGGATGTGCTTTGTGCGTGTTGGAGGTGCTGGGAGGCAGTCAGGGAGGCAGGTGGCGTGGGCAGGTGCAGGGAACCGTCAGGTTGTGACGTTTGGCGCAGCTGAATGTCCCTGTGCCAGTGGGATTGGCGTGTGTTCGAGGGGCTAGATTACGACGCACGATGTCGAAGACTTACGACGGGTCACTGGCTCTCCAGAGCAGGCAGGCAATACTAGATGGAGCCTCTCAGAATGCTTGCAGCTTTCCTAATCCTCAGAATGCTTGCAGCTTTCCTAATTCCAGTTGTTTTGTTTTTTGTTGTCTCATCCTTCCTTGACATATCCTGATGATGGTTGATGAGGTTCTCAGTTCAGGCATTAGCGGTAATGTTTGGGTGCTGTCGCAAGCGGTTCACATGGCAATTGTTTTGTTTGGTTGATACTCTCCCTTCAACAAACTTGGAAGCGGCACAAATGGGTCGACTGACTAGACTGTTGTCCTGAAGGTCGCCTACGACCCGTAGAGTAGGGTCTCCGACCCGTGGGTCTATGGGTCTACCTCTGCTACGACCCAGTAGGGTCAAGACCTCAGTCGGGTTTTCCCTCAGGAGAGCTGAACACATGAGGAAGAACCTACTGAGTGGAAGAACCTGCTTCTTCAACACCTCAGTTGGGTCTTCCACTTCCATTCGATCGATTTCACCCAAAAACTGCATGTGCCATCCACGCTCGTTGGGTTCCTCCGACCAGATCCCATGGCGTTGGGAGGAATCCGGCGACCAGTCCCAGGCCTCGAGGATGGCGTGTCCGTCTCACTGAGGAGTGAACTAAGTCAGTGCAACGAAGCAGTTCAAGGAAACCAATGGTGTTAACATGGTGCAATGGTTGTGATAGATAGCCCAGATCCTGCACCAAAGCTGCTACCCTGAAGGCCTGAAAAAGGATTCAGTTTCAGGATACCCAAGGAACCTTTCAGGCCCATGGCCTTCGAGTGCGGATCTGCCATCCCACGCCCCATCCGCAGACCGTTGTGGTTGTGCAGCGAAGTGAAGACTGAGGCGTTTCTCAATCCATCCAGTTGCAGGGCGAATGCCGGGGCAGATGAACGTGCCATGGCTATGCCATGGCTGCCAGGGTGAAATCTGGGTTCCCAAAATAATGCCAGGAAAATCAACATGTCAGACTGTCAGGACTTTCATGCGCTTCCGTTAGCAACGCTCCCAACTGAATTGTTTATAAATCATTTCCAACATTGGAAAGAGATACACAATATACTTCAAAGATCACTTACCGTACCTCACTTCACACTCCACAAGTATTCCTGCACCTGGTACTGTACCTCATAAAGTCCAAACCTTCTGCAGGGTGGGTACAGTCGGGTACAGGTTCATTTCGCAAAAGATGAAGTGGTAGGATCCCAAGAACAGTTTAACTGTTAAATTCAACTCCTAGGGCTTCAAGCATAGTATTCATGAATCCATGGTTTGCTTCAGAGATGGGAGAAGATTCCATTCCCTTTGTTGTGTTTGGAGGTGCCTTCCAGGGACTCTCAATGAGCACCGAGGTCCACTTGGTTCTTCGATCGATGTGTTCTTTTGCAAGTTGTTTTCTTTTTGTAAGAAGGAATGGAGAAAAGCACATGCTGGGAAATCAGACGTGCAAGATTTTCTTCAGTAAAAAGTAGAAGCCTTGCTTCAGCACTTTCCTTCTCCTCTACAGAGCAGCCGTGCTGATGGGAAGCAAACTTTGTATAGAACATTATAGAACAGCCTCGACAGGCCGAAGATGAACATGAAGAAAGTGACAGGGCAGGGGATCATATATCAATTGCCCTCCGAGCAGCCAGACAAGACCGAACGCGGAAGAGAGCACCCTTAGACTCACCCGAGCGATTTCATCTCACCTGGTCTGGTCTTCGCAGCACCGCCCCTCACTTGATCTCCCTGTGCGCAGATCCCATCGATCTCTCCAACCGACCCCATCGACCGCTCCACGGTCCACCAGGTGCTCCTGGCAGAGGCTGGCGTGCCCTACGCGTCTCGGCGAGAACGGGGGCTGTGGGGCGGGAGGGTCATGGTAGGTGGAGCTGGGTCAGCGGCTTCAAGGGAAGAGCTATCGGATAGTGAAGCCAAACTGATTTCACCAACCCTATAAGGATCCACATACCTTCTCAGGAGGTTGGACCCTCCGAACCTACATAGCGTGTCGAACACATCACCTTGGATATGTGGATATGTGGATCCATAGGGTAAGAAAGGACATCTATCGATCCCTTTCTACTCAGATAGAAATCATTCTTGGCCATCAGGTCCTTTCGATCCTTGATCCTGTTGGGCTTCAGCTGTTGGTTTTGAGCTTCAGCTGTCGAACAGGAGGCAGGTTCGGCCTAGGCGTTTGGGAGAGCACTGAGACGCCTGGAACGAAAGCGGACCATACTGTACTCACTGATGGACTGAACATTACACTCCCGGAAACTAACATGGAAGTGGAAAACCACCTGTTCGTAGTGGAAAATGGTCTTCCAAGGGGCCATTCTCCACTTCCGAGGGAGAACAGCTGTCTTCACCATTTTGTCTTGACCATTCCGGAACATGTGTTCAGAGCGTAGACCCATGTTCATCGTCATGCTACTGAGTCGCGCATCAAACCCAGTGACCATGCACAGTGACACACAGCCGCTCAAACCTTGCCCATTTGTGCCGGTTTCAGGAGACTCCGCTCCCTCCATCCGCCATGCCATCCGCTCCGTCTTGAGGATTGGGTTTATGAGATGGACGAAGTCCAAGAGTCTCGGACCGGCCTATGCTAGGCTTCTCGTGGCGTTGAGACGGATGGGTCAAAGAGAGGAGGAAGGCATCCTGGTTCGTTTTGGGGGGAGGGAATTGATTCGGGACCAAACTTGATGGATCCATTGCCATATGCTGCCACCCTCTGGAGACATGTGGAGACACTTTTATATCGGGAGGGTATCAGTCGTAGCTTCGGTTCGTTTCGGTCTGTGAAAGCCTCACGAGCCAACAATCGGTCTGAACACCGCGTGGAACGGTGAAAGATCAAGACCGCGAGGAACGGCTTCATACTACGAGAGGCCCGAACCAAACCATGAAAGAAACACAGGTTTTCACACACACACACACACAAATCACGTTTTTGTTGCCAGGGAAAACCAGGTGTTTGATGGTTTGTGGGGCCCCTGGTATAGGTGTTGGCATTGGACCCGAGCCTGCTATCATCGCCTGATCGAACGGGACACGGATAGAGCACACCGCCGGGATAGGAGAGCCCAACTGCGAGGGGACGTCCTTCTGAAGGTCCTAGGGATCGATAGGAGAGGAAGAGAGTTGGGGAACCACCAGATCACCTGGGAGTTCAGTGGATCAACTGCAGGTCACCTGTTTTTTTGGGTGGCAGAAATGGGAGATTCACCCCCACTCAACATGAAGAAGGGCGAGTTCCTTTGGTTCACCAATCTCTTTTTCCAGAGGAGCACGTTGCAACATGGTGGGGATCATGTTGCTTTTCCATGCTTTTCCTTCCCGGAAGGTTGGTTGTTTGGCCTTCCCGGCCTTTCTTTCTTTGTTGCCCATCCATGTTGCCCATGTTTTCTTTCCGCCGCGGCGTCCTGTTCCCACGTCAAAGGGGATGACTCTGTCCACCACGGTTTTCTCAGGATGAAATGCCTTCGGTGGACACCTGCCTCGTGGTCGGCCCGGAGCCTCAGACCCACCGACCCAAGGACCCACCGTCCGTCGTCTGCCACCGCGTTTTATCGCCTCGTGTCGTCCTTCCGGAAGGGCTCGATGAAGTCGAAGCCGAGAGTCTTTGGGGGGCGTGCCTTTTTTGGGTGTGATTTTCGGGAGGATGAACTGTGAGGGCCATGAATCAGTTGTGAACTGGAGGCAATCCATCTCCAGAGAGCGAAAAATAAGGTCAAGAACAGCACCTCCCAATAGTATTTAGAGTTGGATCCTGTCTAAGATCGTGGATACAATACATTGGTGACCCTTTTTTAGAGCAGCATCACCGTCTCACCGTCAATGCTTGTCGCTCAAGGAAGTGCTTCGTGAGAAACGCTTGCTGTTTAAAACCTGCAGTTATAGATCTGGTGCCCTGGACTGTTGTGAAAAATGCGACTCACCGACTCACCAGACGTGCTATTCTTGGAACTGTGGAGGCGACGGAACTCGATGCACATGTTTCGCTTGAGATTGAACGTAGATGAGTGATGAGAGATTTCTTTACTGAACAAGAAATGTTAGGAGCTGCAACTACGCATTCCTGAAGTCAACAGATAAACTATTTATATACATTGACTGGTATTTGGTGACAATAGCAGCTGTACATAGCTGTACGTAGAAACCACAGAGTTATCAAGGAAGAAATTCTTTGACTTGAGCGGATATTAACTTAGTGAGAGTATGATAAATGATGAGTGAACAAAAAAGAATACTACTCACTAGTACTGCATCTACAACAACAACAACTACTACTACTACTGCTACTACTGCTACTACTGCTACTGCTACAACTACAACTACAACAACAACTACTACTGCTACTACTGCTCCAACGACAACAACAACAACTACAAACTACAACTACAACTACTACCACTACCACCACTGAGTCTACTACTACTACTACTACCACTACCACTACCACTACGACTACTACTACTACTACTACTACTACTACTACTACTACTACTGCTTTTCTCCACATTTTCTAATGTTTTCCACCACTTCTGCTGCTTCTGCGTTTTGCAGCCACAACCACCAGTACTCTACAGCACCACTCACACTGACAGAGAAGCCGGTGTACTATTAGCAAGTAAGCCGGAATCATTGAACTTGAACCCGTAGTCATGCGCACATACCGTATGGGCACTATACAACGTACCAAAGGACACCTAGCATCAAATTTGAATTGAATGCATGTGCGATTGTAACCTGAATGTGAGCGCCCCTATGCTTATCAAATCAGGTTGAACAAGTTTTCACGTATCCGTATCATGGTTGCAGGTAACTCGCAAAAGAGATGCAGGTTTCCACTCCTCCTTGGATCAAATGTTCAGTTCAGAATCCGGTTATTTCATGTTTGTGGTATGTGATCAAGTGAAACCCACCGGTCAGGTAAAAAACATGACCCAAAAGCATCCCACTCGGGTTTCCCCGCAGATCCGAGGTGCAAACGACATTACCAACGAGGCCGCAGAGACGGATGAGGAGACCGGGAGACGGTGAAACGGTCTGTTTGGGAGACATTGCTGGCCGGGGTTCGGATCCGAAACAGCAGGGTTTTGCAGTGAACACTCATGAAAACTAGCCTTCCAAGATCAGGTTAAAGAGGATTGACCTGGTTTTGTAAAGTCCGTAATTAGTAAGACAATGCTTGTTTGGTAAGGACCATCAAAAAAGCCACCTGTGGCTGCTGGAATCCCAGGGAATGGGAATGTGGGTTTATGCGGCAAAACAAGATGCTAAGGATCTCATTTTTTTGGTGTAAACATTGATTTCACAAGCCGCTAGGCCGCTAGACTGATTGAAGATAGATGACTTTTGTGCACACAGGATGGATGTAATGACCAGGTTGACCATTGGTCAACCGTCAATTGAGGCGGACATGGGACGAGGCGGACGAGGTACGTTCAAATCGTTCTGACAGATCCAGGAGTAGATCGGACGAGGCATACAAGATGACTGGTATTTTCTTCGTGGTTCACATCAGCCGTATTGGGCCAATGAATGATGTGGGCCAAGCCGTGCCAGGACCGAAGGACCCGACACGTGCCTTGGCGCGCTCCAAAACAAGTGGGGCCGCACGAGGTCGCACGAGTACGATCCTGGTGCGCGATGTCCGAGGTTGATTGGCGCAGAACCATCAGTTCCAATTTGGATAGAACAATTGGAGCACGCACAGCTGCAATGTGCCTCCTGGCCACAAAGAAATATCAATGTACTCGCTATTCGAGTCATGCTTCGCTTGACCGACAAAATGGCAAGACACGACCAAGTTGCAGATGGAAGATACCTTGATCAGGTTCAAGCAGGAGATTGTGAACAGCTGACTCACGGACTTTAGTCGGCATTGTAACAGGCACCACCTGATGGATGCTTCCCCTTCGAGCTTCCACACCAGCTTACGTTGCATGGTGCTGTTCCCTAACTCTTTGCGGAGTTCAGGAACCAAGGACATCCGATGACACTGAGTCACTCACACTCCCTGACTCACTGACTCAGTCTCAGCTCGAGAAGCACTGCTCTTTTGGTGCCGCCGTTGCACGCCGAGACAGTCTGAGAGACCGTTTGGACCGGCCGTTGAGACAGCGATGACGTTGGCCATGTCGACGTGAGCCGTGGGCGTCGACGTGAGCCGTGGTGTGGCTGTGATCCATAGGGCTACGGGAGCCAACATGGCAGGGCTACGAACTTCCTATCGAGGAACACGGCTGCAGACGCGATACCTCATGCGATACCTCATGCGGTCACTCCGTGCGCTCTTCGTAGCACGCTGGATGGTCGCTCCATGTTCATCTTTGGCTTCTGAGCATCATGTTCAGCATCAGGACATGCTGGCCTTTGTCCGAACCGCTCGAAGTCCGGCCCGACGCCGAAGCCTGAAGGAGGGCCTCATGACCCTCATGACTCGTGGCTCGGCGTGAAACCGCGGAGGGCGGAAAGAACGACGGCCACGGCCGGAGCGCCAGGACATGTCCAAGCAAACGTTTGATCAGAAGAATCAATGACAAAGAGTGTGCGACTTCATCAAGCTGAGCTGGGCGTTTAGCGCAGCGCTGCGGTCTTGTTTAGGCATTCTCACGGAGCCAGTCGCGGCGATCGCGTGTCGTGGAGTTTGGCAATCTCCTGAAGCGGGCTTACCAAAGGACGCTACTAGGGGCTCCTGGCCTTAGTAGTAAGCTACTAGGAACAAGAAGCGGACTTACCAGTCTTGGGCTGCGATGGCGGTGCTTCAGGCTTTCCCGGGTGCAATGGCCGTTAAAAGAAAACCACATGCGGCATGGCCACATGCTTCGCACGGCGCCCATCAGCACGGCCATCCTCAGGGCCCGCATGGGTGGAAGGAGTCGCTATGGACTGGTCGAATTCCCAGCCCCTCTCGGACGAGCTGCGAATTCATTTGGACACCTGGAAGACGAGGACTGTCCCCCCACTTGGTGCCACAAGGTGTCTCCCTTGCCTCGGCACTCTCGGACGCTCCATGTGGCACGTTCGGTGCGTTCGGCCTTTAGGCCATGGACATGGAACATCGAACATGGCTGCTTTGCGAAGATCTATTTCTTGGGAAGCTTCATGATTCCATGTGTATGTTGATGACCAACCATGGTCCAGTGACCTTCAGCTTTGTAAGTGACCTCTTCATGGACTAAGTGACCTCAAACTGGGATCTCAAGAGGTCATGTTGAAGGTCCTGGTTGATGATCTTTTGTTTGACGTTTGTTACATGTGTGGTATCGAACATCTCATCCGCTGGCAAATCATCGAATATCGACATCGCAATGTTTGGTACCAATACCATCCAGTGTTTTGTACCAATATGATGCAAGATGTATCATTGTGTCAATATATGTTGTAGGTCATTGTAGGTACAAACGGATGACACTTCTTGCTCATGTTGAATTTCAATCAATAGTGTCCCTTCCAATCAGCTCTGCAAGTCAAAAGAGGGGCTTGCCGCACATGTTTTGCTGCAACAACGAATTGATCACATACTGTTGCAAGTTCTCCGCACCCAGTAATAGTTCAATGGTCCAACCATCCATCTTAGTCTTGGAACATTTCTGGTTGACTTTGTGGAAACTCTGTATATTAATAGTTGCCCCTGCGACCTTTGGACTGCATTTCTTGTAGGTGCCCATTCTGATTGTCTCAAAACTGGTTGGTTTTGTTCTTCCACTTTTCGATCTCAGGAGTGCTCCATCTACGGCATGCCTGTGATTAAGGTTTGGGAGGCAACAAAGGGGGAGTGTCCTTGGCCTGACAGGCTTTATACAAGATGGTGGTGTATTCAGTTTTGCTGTCGAAGGGTGATTTCCTTTTGACATCGAGTCGAATAAGCTCAAGTGCCGTTGGAGTTGGCTTAGAACATTTTAGGACACTGTTGTTAAATCATGATGTGTGGGGACAAGAGAATCCACAGACGAACGTTCCGGAGGAGCTTGGAAAACCCACGTGAACATGCAAAGGTACTGGCATGAATCATTGCGATTCATGATCCATGGATCAGCGCAAGGTTTGGCTGAATATGCTGGATGGAATTGTTGTGTTTTTCTCATTGGATGAAGCAGAGGGCTTGACCATAGACGCTGGTAGTAGTGATAATTGCAGTGCTGGTGACCTTTGTGAACGCGACCTTAATAATTGTTTGGTGGGAAGGGTAAGGTCTAGTGGAAGTTGCTGGGACTTCTTCCATGTTGATCCTGCACATTGTGCTCTGATGTGTTGAGAAGTAGACACATGTGGGATGCAGCTTGAAAAAAAGAACAGGTTGGGTTTTCTCCTTCCCCAGGAAGTGCCCACTATAAGACAGCACTCACTCCATGGTTTGGCCATTCTACACAGACCACCAACAGCAAGTGCAGGACGACGTAGCTCCGGCATGCTCCTGCGGCCCTTTCTGCTGCACCTCACTACGATGTGCTCGACGTTTGAGAGATGCAGAATCTGACTCCCAAGACATTTCCCTGGAAACTAAAGGACCAGCGAACTTTTCGCCTGCCTATTCTTGTTTAACCTCCAAAAAAGGTTAAATCAGGTTATCCACTGACTGGCTTGGTCCATAGTTTTCGGACCCATCGATGACCCAGTTCCTGACGAACTTTGGATAATCTTCGACCATTCGATAGACCCAATCACTTACCCAATACCATGGGGCGCCACAAACCATCAAAGACCTGGTTTTCCCTCCAAGTCATGACATGTTTTTTGATATGTGAAAACCTCTGCAATTCGGGGCCACTGGTAGATGGTAGGGTCTTTTGTGTGTCTTCTTTGATCATCGTTCTTCTTTGTGTCCTGGCAGGCGAAGAATTGCATCTACCTCAAGCGATCGATGGCGGGAGGCGTGTGAGTTCACCAGACCGAGCGGGGGGGGTGAACTCCCATGTAGCTCCAGATGAGTTCACCATACCGTTGCAAATGAACTGATGGTCGACGTCTTGTCCAGGTGGTGGTTTCACATGATTTGACAAACCCACTCACTGCAGTTGTTTGTTGTTGTTGTTGCTGTTGCTGTTGCTGCAGTTGTTGTTGTTGCTGTTGCTGTTGCTGCAGTTGTAGTTGTTGGGTTGTATTTTGTTTAGAGAACCTGTTATGAACGGCCACATCGACATATCTACATAACGTTATATGTAGGGGCTTGTTTTAAAGAACAATAAGATAGCATGATGAGATGTCAGAGCAATTTTCCCACAGGGTTGTCACTCTGCTGTCACCGCAATTCACTGATTTTTTTTTGACTCGTGTTCACCTGTGGTCCTCCGCTAATATGTTCTTGCTGATTTGCTCAGTTGGTGAGTGCTTCCGTCTTGAACTGTCTGGAACACATACTGAGGTCCAGAACAGTTGTTGCATTTTCGTGCGCATGGATTTCTGGGTCGCTGGGTCGGGCTTCAGCGACTGGTGGTCCCCAGCGACGAAGAAGGGCTTTGCGACGTGGGTCAGCTTCGAACTGCTTCAAGCAGTTGTCCTACCAGGATCCAATGGTCTTGGGTCCGTCCCAATGCCTGTAACAGTTGGTAAACACCTATCACTATGTTTGAGATTTTTCAGAAAGGCCTCTACTCACCATCATCCACTGGTAATGGGATATGCCCGTTGTCCAGGCGACCTCAGTGAAAAATGGACAACCATGAGAACCATAACCTCAACTACTTCGGGTCTAGGAAAACATGGAGCTGCTTTGTACCTGCAGTACCTGGGACCACCTTCAAATCCTGCAAAACCTTTTACATGATGTCCACCCTCTAAAACCACTCGGTGTTCCGCAGGCTCACCCATTTGCTTGCCTCGTTCGCTTTCCGAGCGTTCGTCCAAATAAGTGGCCGGAAACAGCAGGCTACGCCGACCTGGAGAATCCAGTCTTCTTCCGCGAGACGACTCAGATGTTGCTAGGCGAGGTGGGGGCGGGAGCGAAGGAGGACCTCAGAGCTCGAGAGCAAACTGTAAACAGGCACGGTTCGTGGGTCTGGAGATAATTCGACGAATTCGACGAAATGAAGAGCCTGTTTTGGGGGGGTTGGTGAGTTGTGTCAATTCTCCTGTAGCTGCTCAATTCCAAGAGACAAATTGATCTCAAACCACTCTGTTTTCTATGGTGTTGCTCATCGGGAAGGGGCTGTGGCATTGCTAACAAGGACAGATGGGCAGAATCAGGACTACTGTTGCAACCGACATGTTCTGTGACTCAGCTACTTGTCCAAGCCCGACCTTTTTGTCCTTTGTTTGGGTTCTACCATGTGTTTTGTTCTACTCCCTCGTAGCACCTCCCTGCCTCCCAACCCTCCTGCGAACCCGAAACCCCGCCACCGATGCCGAACATCGCTCGCCGCTGGGGGAGGCGATGGCAAGTCGAGCTGCGAGGGCATCGCGGCGGCCTTGAAGGCCAAGAGTTGAGGCCGGCCATGGGGCACGAGGCGGTGCCTTCGGGACGATGGTGATATGGATAAGGAGATATAGAAGGGGCAGGTGATGGCAGGTGGTAGCTTGGAGATAGCAAGTGGGTGGCGAACACCAGGGATCATGCAACAGGAGCCTTTTGGAATGCTTTTGGACAGTTTTCGCGGCCTGTTGGACAATCACCTGTTGGACATTCCAGGTTGGTTTTTGGCGGTTGGATTGCTATTGCCTCATTACACCTCGCACAGTTTTGGTTTGATAAAAGTGTAAGTGTGTGTGTGTGTGTTTTCCATGCACTAGCGATGATCGCTCTAGTTCACCGGATTTGCCTGGCTTGTTGATGATCCAAAGGCCTAAAGGAGTTCTCTCAGTTCCAAAAAAAGATAGGCTCAATAAAAACTGTCAGCTAAATGCATAGTTTGAGATACACGTGACAAGCAGTGATGTGAGGAATTACATTTCACTTGTCAACCTACAAGTGCCGGTCCTGATAGGATGAATCTTTGATATCCAAGAAGGCTAATCATATAGACCCGCAAGATTCTATTGAGCAATCATCCGATATTTGTAGGTACATATATTTTGTACAGCCAGAGTCCTGCGGCTGTTTCCCTCTTGCACGTTCGGTCCCATCATACCCAAGAGAACGCTGATGAATCCGTCTTCGGGCACGGCGCCCAAAGACACCAAACACACACCTTGGTAATTGAACCACATCACAGGAGCCTTGGCAAATATAACTTGAAAACCTGGGTATTCAGCCCAGCCTGTATAGGGGAAAGAGTATATACTCGCTTGGTGGGGGACCGCCTCGAGATCACTCCACGATTGCGGCAGATCTGTTCGAAGCCCGGATCAAAAGATTTGAGAGCTATGTTTCGCTGACCAGCCAGCACAGGTAAAAGAGACGGACAAAAAAAATTGGGGAAAGAGTGGGCTCAACACATCTTAGCACGGCAGATCGGAGATGTTAGAGGACCTCCGCATGGATAGAACAGTCTATATGTCTCACCTTCTGAGAAGGTGGGACTGGGGACCTTTGTAACAGGTTTTTCCAGCGTCCGCTCCGATTTCTGAGGATCTAGTTGGATCCTCGACTTGAATCATGTTTTGGACACCGCTTTTGAACCTACGGCCGCTGTTGCAGTCCCACACGACGTGGCACATGTGGGCCCTGGGAGGCAGCTCTGCCAGTGAATCCTGAAATCTGTCCGGAGGTGTTCTAGTCTTAGGTCCATTGCAGAACCACCCAGTCATCGATTGGGGTTTCAGGACCTCAATGACTAAAAACCACAACACATGTTTTCTTCAGGTGATTGTACATGTAATTGAGGGCATAGTTTCAATGCATGAATTCTACCAAACAAATCATCAGTTGAGCTCTGTGTGTTCGTTCAGCTTCGCTCCTACCTACTGATTTCTCACCAGAGGGTGATTCTGCATGGGGAAGGACATCTCTGGTCCTCGGTTTTCCCAATATTTTTTTCCCATGCATGGCTGCCTAAGACGGGCCTTTGCTCAGGATCTGTGTGGTGAGGAACCCCGTTTGAAAGTGGATGCCGGAATCCACTCCAACGGAGCCCAAAAGCAATGATATCAGACTCTGAGGGACACGGAAGATAGAGCTGTCGTTCCAAAGGGCGTTTGGGTGCTGTTTCCACTCACTCGCAAGGGTGCCATTAACTGAATCCCCACTTCATAGGAACTGCATTTATTGGGTGGTTCCTTAAAATCCGCCCCTCCTACTGAAACTGAGACATCTTGCGATCGGCACACGTTCCTCCTCAGCTTAAGTGGTTGGTTCCTCCTAGATGCAGCCACGCAGCTCTGGGCATTGTGTAGAACGTGCACCCGTCCATCCGAGTTGGCTTGTTTCGTTTTGGGTTTTCCTGCCTGACCAAGGGTTGAAAGAAGCATAACAGTCGTCAGTTGGCAACTGGCAACAACAGACCAAAAGCAAGGTACCAGGAGTAAACCTTAAGCCATGAAGAACTGGAGCTCTTCACCAAATCAGGCGTTTGAGATGGTGAAACACCAGAACTTTGATGCTTTGAGGATCTTTGAGGTATCTTTTTGTACGTGGTCACGCTTGGTTGATAAACAAGATACACTTCGAGCTGATCGAAGTTCAGAAACCTCAGGAGTGGTGAGTCATTTCGTTTCCTGTTTTTTGTTGGCCAAACTGGTCATATGATGGTTTTGCTGAGGGTGATTATTATGTTCCCTAAATATGGATGAACCCATATGATTCCTATTCTTTTCTTCCGGTTCCTGGACAGCTAATCCAAGACTACCAAGTGTTGTTGTTGTTGTTGTTGTTGTTGTTGTTGTTGTTGTTTGCACATGACCTATCATCCGTAAACCGGCGCTAAGCGGATTACCAGAGTGGTGGGATGTGGCTCAAGACGGAGATGCCTGGCACTTGGTGGCCGCAGCACTCACAGCTCGTTCCTTGAGTTCCCCGGGTGCTGGTTTTCATACTGGCAATTAGTATCAAGGGAGGCCCTGGCCATTGAGAAAACAGCTCAGCCTCATCAATCTCCAGCCTGGGCGGGTGTGCAACCGGTGATCTTCGAAGAAAACGTGTGGCGGCCGTGTTCGGCTTTGGGGTGTTCCTTTTGGCAAACCGCTAGCTGCTCCTGGCCCACCTCCGTTTCGGTTCGGTGGGACAGGGGTGGATGCCAGGGGGGTCTGTGCTACCACCGAACCTGAGGATATGGTGAAGTCGCCCGGATGGGAAAAAA